TCCATTATAAGCATATCAGAGATTATTTGGAATTAATTGGGATAAGATCATATCAGAAATAAGTTGAAAAAAGACACGCAGAATTACTTACTTAAAATCCGTAGGATGAAAACCAATATCATATCTAATTATTCTTAATTTTGTTACAGCCAAGAAACCGTGGAAAGAAATTCATAATCATTTTTCCCTAACTGTAAAGATAACTGAACCAAACCAGAAAATCGTTGTTTAGAACGTCTCAAATGTCAAAAATGAGAAAATCTTATTAGAAAGAAATGACTCTAGGGATGGATAAAATTAAAAAACAGATCGAATACACCGGAACCGCGCCAAAGCCAGAGGACTCCAAATTAAGACTACTTGTGACCGAAAAGAAAGGTGACATTTATCCCGGAGAAAATAAGGACTTCAGGAAGATAACATTGAAGAATGTGAACAAACAGAGCAAGAAACACAAGGATCTCAATCATAGAGCAGAAATTAAGAGCACCCTTAGAGTAAGGACGAATTCCTGTTATTTTAAGATCGCTTGAGTTCCTTGCTATGATTATCCAAGCTCTTGAATTTTTTGAACCCATTGCATACTATGTGGTATTGAAGATAGCGTTGTGAGTTTTTAGGGTTGTGCGATGAAGGATCATACATATATATATATATATGTAGTAGTGAAAGAGAGTGGAGCTCTTTATTCACTTAATTCAGTCTTATACAGTTACTAATTTGTATCTGATTTGAATTATTTTGCGAAGACGATTTAAGAATCTATTCCATATTACTCTTCTACTGATATAAACTTCATCATCAAGTCTTACTGAAAAAAATCAGTCTAATTAGTTTTCCGGTTTTGGCTGCAGAAATCCATATTGTTCAACTAAATTTAGACTCCATCAACCAACTGGCATGTCTTTTGCATTTTGTTGACTGCAAGTTGAGGTGCTTTGGGGTTTGACTAAAGGGCTGAGGATCTAAAATTCGAAACTACTTGGGCGAAATTGGTGTGATCCAATTTTAACACTACCTGTGCTTCAAAGAAAATGACAGAGTTGAGCTTTTATTATAGCTTATACTTTTAAAGGAACAGAACACTGAATTGTAATTTCCAAGAACTCTCTGATTCAAGGTCATGCCTTCTTTATGATCACCAATCTGTCTTGACCGGGTTTTCTTCCTGCATATATACTGTCCACCCAACCTCAAAAATATATACATATATAACTCAATGCTTGTTCAGGTAAATTTGGAAGTGGTTTGGACGTTTGCCATGCTGCATTCTCGTAAGAACTAACTTATGTTGTAAGCTAGTATTAATGAGATGATTACGGGAAAGGTAAATCGTGTTTCTTTTCTTCTTCTTAATTTAGATATCACGTTGTACACATAACAAGTTTTTATCTTCTATAAAAATTTACAACGTGACCTTCATATGGAATGAAAGATTGCATTGTTGTAGGATATACAATAATAAAAATGTGTGGCAGTTACCTTTGTTAAGAAAAATGTGTGAAATACAAGTAATGGCCTCAAGGGATATGATCAAGGGCTCTAAGGAGCTAGAGAACACGGAAGAACATGGAGAAACATAGGAAGAAATTCTAGCAGCTCAAACAATATATTAGCAGAAAACAAAAAAGCCCCGGCCCAAGGGTGAGGAAAAAATTCTCTGCAACGTTAAGCTGTCTAGAATTCCTTACTATGAGTATTCAAGCTCTTCAAACTGAATTGAAACAAAGATTCTGAAGATAAAGGGAAGTCAAAGAAAATAAAACTGTATTGTGCCCTTTGATGGGGGTGAAGGAAAGATCAATTTATAGAGGGCACAGCAATTAAGCCCAGGAGGAAGAAGAAGAAGAAGAAGAAGCTCAATCAATGTATGTGGGTGGTTGTTAGCAGACCCGAAATTGAATTGCCGAGAATCAGAACATTTATGGATGAATTAAGTTTATTGTACTACGTTTCAGAAACTTGAAGAAAAAAAAAATGGACTCCCGATTTTGCGAATCGTGAAACAGAGTACTAGCTCTGCTCTACTCTGCAGCATTGGAGAACACCCTTCTTCAATTAAGTTCGAATTGCTTTTTGGTAGCCTTTCACTTTCTGCATTATTATTATTGTCCAACCAAAAAGAGCTTCAGCCTCCACAGATCACAGATGAACCCCCGCATTCACATGCCACTTAATTGCTTGGTTCAGATTAATTCTGGGTTTGGAATTTTGGATCCTCCAGGCTTCTTCCATCTGTTGTTTTAACTAGGATATACATACACTAGTATCATATTGATCGATGGTAGTTATGATGGGTGTGACAATAATGTCACTCTTTACCAACGTCTTATCACAGATGGCTGTAATTTACATTGGCGATTATTTCCAAAGTACTTCCTCCGGTCCTTATTATAACTTATTTTAATTTGTCTAAAGTTTTATCTAGAACAGAAAAAGTATGTTTTTTTCGATTGAGAAGAAAACCCAAAAATTACATTTTCAAATTCAATCTATTCTCCCAATTATTAGAAATATTTTTAAGATTTTTCTTTCAATTAGAAAAACATATTACGTGAAACATAAATACAAATTAAAATACCTTCTAATAAGAATCCTATGAAGTATTTGGTTTCTCTGAGAACTATAAAATAAACGTGGATATACTCAAAAGATGAAATACCGGATGTTAAACACAAGATTTGTCAGGGAGCCTTCATAAAAATCAAAGCAAGTCGTGATGTTGTGATTGCCGGTACACATCGAAAAAACGAAGGTTCATTCAAGGGAACACAATATAGTTTACGATTATGATATTAATTGGCCACTCTAATGATAACATATCCTTGACTGAAAAATGAAGAGTGGAGGTAGGGATAGGGACAAGAGTGTTATCAAGGTTGAAAGGGATAAGAGTGGAGGTAGCAGTATCACCTGACCATGTTGTAATTGCCTATGATTTTCTAATAATCTGGTATTGTGTTTCAAAAAAAAAATTGAAGAAAATGGAAAAAAGAAAATAGAAATATGCCCATCATTTCCCATTATTGGGCCGTAGAGAACTGAAGGATAATTGTTGGATTCATTTTGCTATTGCAGATAGAAAGATATTGTTCACGTACTCGAATGGGCTGCTTTCCGTTATTTCAAGTTTCAAGACCCTACGTAAAAGTCCAACAAAACCATTCTTTTCAATATCTGGAATTCTAACCAAAATGGTTGTAATGGAGTGGAAGGGACTCTTCCACCCTTAATCAATAGGTCGAGGGTTCGAATCTTATCATGAACATGGAATAACCTTAAATACTTTGGCCAGTTGTCCCAGCCATTGAGGTGCCTACAATTTAGCGAGGGGGGATTAGTCATTGACACTCTGCAAATATGCCAAAAAAAATCTGGAATTCTGGATGAAAACTAACCTGTATGAGTAACACATTCTTGGTTTTTTTTTCCCCTTTTGTTTTGCGTCTGTGTGTGATTATTATTTATATAAATTCACAGGATAAACTGAATAATGTATTAATCCAAGACTTAAACTACTACGAATGTCTCTTCTGTTCTAGTTCAGCATTCATGGTTTCTCTTGGCTATATGGACAGGGATGGCTTCCTGTTGTTTTTGTGGGTCAAGTAAAATCTTAACATGTGTAAAAAAAATGGTGCTTCATGATGTTTAACTTTACATATGATTTACTCAACTTGGGAGATGCATTGATGCGTTTTGAGTTTTGTTAGGTTTATTGATGTGTTATTATTGTGAATCTGCTTGGCAGAAATTATTAAAGGATCCAGGTTTTAACAAAGGATTATGGTAAACTAATCTACTGAAGTTGTATAAGCCATATACAAGTACACAACTTCAGTTCTATATGGACTTTTTTTGTTGGTTTACAAAAATAAATAAATAAATTGTGAATCTTCAACGCAAGGCATATTTCATGACATGTTTTCATTTTATTTTTTTGGCCATAAAAATAGTTTTTCTTTTTAACCTACAGTATAAAAGAAAATCAACTATTATGGGACGGGATAGGCAGTAATTAATGAATCACAATATGATAAAATAATCACATTACAATAATGCTACCAAGTGCAACGATGAGCAAAACATAATTGATGAATTTGGGTGGGGCCAAGCAAGGTCATCGTCTCACGTGCACTGATTAAAAAAATTTGTCTTGGCCAAACAACTCAAAAGGAACGTCCTTTTTTTTTTTTTTTTTATCAGGACTAACTAACGGTCATCCGATGAGAATTATGTAATCCAACATTTTTGCTTTACGGAGTAGTAGAAGATTGAGTTGTGATAATGTTTGATTTGATACTGCTGCGGATTGACAAGATGGGTTGGTTGGTAGGACATATCTAAAATTTTGTTGTTTTTAAGGGATCCATCTAACTCTATCTTTAATTCTCTTCAATCCAATCCAATCCAATCTCACCCGAAGCAGTAATGAGTTTCCACAACCCAGAGTGTGAAAATTTAATGGTAGTGAAGAACAAACAACAAATCAAAACCCAATCCATCACTATCATCAAGTACATAACATAACCACTTTCAAGTCTATATATATCTATGATGAAGGTCCCCCCAATCTCAAACATTATTAATAAAGCTTCAAAATATATGGTTATCTTCAACCCTAAAAACATCATCTTTAGTGCTTTGTTGCAAATTTGATTTTGTTTTTTTCGATCTTACCGGCGTAGACGACCGTAGACTCATTTTGGCCATATAAGCTGCTAACGGCTACATTTTCCAGTAACCAAGACTACCAAAGACTATATAAAAATGTCAGTTTTGTGTCACTGGGCGTGTTGCAGATATCATCCACGTGACACGTGACCTTAACAGAACCAAAATGTCAGGTGCTTTCCGCTCGTACTTGGCGGGAATCAATTTTTTTTTTCTTAATTTTGAGGGCCGGGTGGTCCCCTCCCCGCCTTAAATCCTTACCTGTCAAAATCATTGACCCAACAACCACTTTCCTCCGTTTCATTTTAGCCCCACTCCTAAGGAAAGGGGGAAAAAAGGAAGAGGATCTTTATATATATAGTTTTCAGTTTACACATCACTTTCCCGGTGGTCCGAACAAAATCCCGGCCTTCTTGCATGACCGAGACCATACAAACTAGTAATAGGCTTTAGGAGGAGGAAGCTTCATTCATGACTTATAAAAATTACACCAAAGAATTCTCAATATCGAAAAATATTGAAGATTTCAGAATGTCTAACAGCAATGAAACAAACCATGGATAATGCTAAATCTACCCCCACATTGTTACAATTTTTCTTTTTCTTGTTTTGCCTCCCGCCCGAAAAAATTTTTAATCTACTAATGGAAAGAAAGGAAAAAAAACAAAAAAAATAACTGGATGATGGAGTTTTTTTGGTTCTACTCTTCAAGCAGGGGAAGGTTGTGAAGTGGGGTCAGCTGATGAGGGCATATCAGGGCCAACTCGGCATCCTTCCAGCATAAACACGACGTCAGCCATGGTGGGTCGGTCTAGAGGGTCTGGTGCTGTGCAAAGCAATCCCACTTTTATTCCTAGCAAGAATTCTTCCCATTCTGATGATTCTGGATCCAGCTCAAGCAACCCTGGTTCTAAGAGTTCCGAAATCTGCCCTCTTTGTAGTTGCCTCTTCACCCATTTCACAATGTCTTCGTCTTGAGTGAACATCAATGGCCTCTTCCCTGTGAGTAGCTCTAGCAACACAATGCCAAAGCTGTAAACATCGGATTCTCTAGTGGTGAGGCCTGTTAATGCTGCCTCTGGTGATATGTAACCTAGAGTTCCTACTGTAGTCGAAGTTGAGGCCTCTGCTGGGGTCGCGATAGTGAGCTTGTCTAGGCCGAAATCTGATAAATGAGCTTCGAAGTCTGCATCGAAGAGAATGTTCTGTGGTTTGACATCTCCATGAACGATTGAGGATGAGTGAAGGAAGGCAAGCCCCCGAGCGATTCCAAGTGCAATGAGATGCCGCATAGGCCAATTTAGGACATGACCATCCTGGTGGGATGCTTCTTGGAGCAATGTGGCTAGATTGCCATTGGGCATGTAGTCGAAGGCTAGAAGCCTGACATCAGGAGGGCCAGCATAGTATCCACGGAGGACTGTTAGGTTCCGGTGCTTCACTTTGCCAAGTGATTCAGCTTCTTTTCTGAACATGTTCTCACTTAATGATCCATCTGGAAGCCTGCGAATTGAGAGCACCATTCCATCATTGTAGCATGCCTTATACAACACCCCGTATCGAGTCCTACTCAGCACATTTTCCTCGTCAAACTGCCTGGTTGCTTCAATCGTTTCTGCCAACGTGATCTTGTTGTTGAACATTACTAGTTTTGGACCTCCATTCTCTGAACTGCCACGGCCACCACTTGTTCTAGTGCTGGCTCTTGCTGGACTATGCTTCTTTTCGGCAGTTGCCCCTTGTTTGAGTTTCTGCCGCCACCTCAAGAGACTGTAAACATAGAAACAACAGCAAGATAACACCAACAAAGTACCACTTGCAGCCACAGCAATAAACATGATTAGCCTGTTCTTCCTATCACCCTTGTCCGCTTCCTCACATTTTTTATCCAATGGCTGCCCACACAAAGCTTCATTACCCGTGAAACTTGAAGAGCTATTAAACCTCGAACCTACCAATTCAGGAATTTCACCTTCTAAATTGTTGTTCGAAACATTGAGATTCATCAGAGCCGGAATGAGAGTCAGATTTGCAGGTATATCTCCAGTCAAATTGTTTGAGGAGAGATTGAGAGTTGTCAAATTTGATAACTTTGACAATGAGTCAGGAATATGACCAGAAAGATGATTTCCCTCTAATAAAAGAGAATTCAGAGATGAGCAATTCGAAATGTCTACTGGAATTTCACCTGTGAGATTGTTCCTACTCAAATCAAGCACAGCTAAATGTGACAGTCCAGAGAGATCAGTAGGGATTTGCCCACTGAGAGAATTGGAGTGTAAATCCAGAATTTCAAGAGCAGAACAATTCCCTAACTCCGGTGGAACTAGGCCAGAGAGATGATTGTTGGACAATGACAGAACAGCCAGAGACTTAAGGAACCCAAATGTGGATGATATATTCCCAGAAAATACATTGGAAGAAAGATTTAAGTACCGCAATCCCATTAAGCTGCTGAAACCTTCAGGAACATCACCAGATAACCTATTCTCCTGCAGTGCAATCACTTGTAAATTAGGCAAACCCACGAGATCAACAGGCAATTCCCCTGATAGATTCTGCTTGCTTAAATCAATAGAGGTCAACTTATACAGACTTCCAATACTTGCTGGAATAGCTCCAGAAAAACTATTCCCACTCAAATTTAGTACAGAAAGCTGCATTAAATTCCTAAAATTGGTAGATAAGCTTCCAGACAATTTGTTGCCAGCCAAATTCAACATACTCAAATTGCTCAGTTGAAGTAATTCCTCAGGCAAACTTCCGTTCAAGCCATTATCTCTTAAATTAAGAGATTCCAGCTGAGTTAGATTACCCAAACTGGGACGAATTGGACCCGTGAACCTATTTCCACCAAGAGATAAAATCCTTAATCCATTTAACTCACTTAAAAATGGAGGAATTTCGCCGGTCAACTGATTTCCTTCAAGATCCAAAGCCTTCAAATTTCTACAGTTGGTTAGGCCAGACGGGATTTCACCATCAAATGAATTGTTAACCATCCTCAACTCCTCCAATCTTTGTAAGTTCCCAATCTCTCCAGGTATAGAACCCGAAAAATCATTCCCAGACACATCCAATGCAGTTAAAGTGGTAACATTCAGCAAAAATGGAGGAAATTTACCACTAATTCTATTGCCTTGAAGGTCCAAAACCTCCAAAACACTGAAACAATTAGTGGGCCCAGCAGAAGCTATACCAGTGAATTCATTAAACCCCAGCTGAACATTTCTAATGGAAGGAGAATAGATAGACACATTGCAAAATAAAGAAACTGGCAACAAACCCGAGAGATTGTTATGTGACAAGGAAATCACAGAAAGCTTAGGAAGAGCGCCGATAGCTTGGGGCATTACGCCTGAAATGGCATTGCCTTCGGCGCTAAAGTGCACAAGGGAGGAACAGTTCGCCACCGCCGACGGCAATGTGCCTTGCAAGTTGTTGTAGTCCAGCCAGAGGTACTCCAGCTGTTGAAGCTCTCCCAGAGTCACCGGAATCTCGCCGGAGAAATGATTGTAGGATAAATTAATGAGCTGGATCTGTGTAACATTCGAGAGGCTTCCGGGTATCTCACCGGAGAATGAGTTGGAGGAGAGGTCGAAGTAACGGAGGTTACTGGGTAGGTCACCGGGGATTCCACCGGAAAGACGGTTCCCAGCGAGGTTAAGTATGTGAAGGTTCGTGAGGTTTGAAATTTCCGGCGGCAGGTCGCCAGAAAACGAATTGTACTGCAGGAACAGAGAGTGCAAAAGCACACATTTTGAGAGAGAAGATGGGATGGTACCATTGAAGGAATTGGAACGAATGCTGAGCTTACGAAGCATACGCAAGCTAGAAATTTGTGGGCTGAGCGGGCCGCTGAGCTGGAGGCGAGGCAGCCGGAGCTCCCTAACTTGGCCGTTGTAGCACAATACCCCACGCCAGTCGCAGGGAGCCGAAGGGGTCGACGGCTCCCACCCGTCTAACGCGCCCAAAGGGTCATGTAAAACAGCTTTGATAGCCGCGAGTGCTCGGATCTCGGCCTGCGTTTCGGCATCGCCGGCGGCGCAAAACAAGCAGCGGGTGGAGATAAACAGAAGCAAGAAAACAACTTTAGCGACGGCCATGGGCTAAAATGGGGAAAAACAGGGGATTCAGGGTGATTATGCAGATACATAAAAGTGCGCACCGAGAGGAGAGCAGGTTAGCAGAGGTGGAATATCGGAGGAATGGGATATTGACATAAGGTTGCGCCACCTCCGCGGCGCACTCTTTTTCAGAAGGTTATTTTTTTTTTTTTTTTTTGGTTTTGTTTTGTGACACACAGAGGAGGACAGGCGCAAAGACAAACACTTTAATGCAATGAAAGAGGGGAAAAGAGATTTTTTTTTTTTTTTTTACTACGCTCTCACACACTCACACAGTGACACACAGACACACACTGTAGTAATTAATCCTCCAATTTTATTTTGGCTTTGGAGTTATGAGTAATGCAGTGCGAGTCCAGTAGGAAGGAAGAGGGGGGGAAGAGGTGAGAGTGAGTAAAAAGGAGTACTGTTTTGGGAGTGAGTGAGAGCGTTGTTCCAAAAACCTGCTGAAGGAACACTTTTCAACAAAGGCAAGGAGAGAGGGGGTCACCCACTGTGGACTGGCTGGCTTTTTTAGCTTCATCATATGGGTTACATCATTAGGCTTGGATGGAGCCCCCTCTTTTTCGGCCGTTTCTTTACAATTTGCACTTCCTATATTGTTTACTTCACAACAATGTCTATTAAATGTGACCTTAAAAATTATTATTTCTCTCGTCTCAAAATATAATTCATTTTTTATTAAGTTAAAGTAACAAATACAAAAATTATTATTTTATGGAATCACATTTTTCGTTTTAAAATGCAGGTAGGCGTACGTTTAATTTGAGAAATCAACCAAAAAGGGGAAAAAGAAAAAAAAAGACTGACGAATATGTCATAAGTCATGTTTTTGGCTGACACATCTGTTGTTAGCTAACAAATGTTTTAGGCTAATAGCCCACAGCCTTACAGTCATTTTTAAGGCTAAAGATTGAGCAAAACACATAAATTGAGTCAATGAGAAATGTCAGGGTCAATTTTGGTTTAGGGAAAAGCAAACTACAAAGACATATGTGGTCATAACCTCAATTGCAGAGCAAAACTCGATCATGTTCCACAGTTGAAGGGGTAGTTAATCACTCTTAGTTGGAATGATTTGAAGTTTCTAACAGTAGTAATCACTCATAAAGATGGGGTTTATTTTGGGAGGAGGAAGTAAACAAACTGATAAAAAGGACGCAAAAAGTCTTCATTTAAGTCCACTTTTACTGTTTTAAGCCTCTTTATTGGGTCAAATTTGACCTGGCATTTTGGCCTTTATCCCTTAGTATAGCCGGTCCGTAATCGCCTTTGCATCTCGAGGGTGCCCTCTTTTCAAATATATTTGGTCAATAAATCTCTCAATTAGGAATTATATTCATATAGGGACTATTGGTGTGGGGTTTCAAACTTCTAAATCCAAACCCAAAAAGTTATCCAAATGATGTGGCGCTTTCTACATACACACAAGAGTGTAATAATTTGGTTTTAACCTTAATTGAGCATGCACAATGTTTACTTGATTAATGTGTTTGGGTTCTTTGGCAAAACTCCAAACGCAATGGTACAAAGCTCGAAATATTTGTTTGGGTGGGTGGGTGTGTTCATTGGTTACCACCTAGGCACAATTGATGGGAGTATAAAAAAAAAGATGTTTTTCATTTCATGAAGTCATGAGAATGGGAAGGGGGAAATCATCAATCACAAGTGTTGGTGTTTTAGGAATTTACACCAAGTGGGCCATTCGAAATCTATACTTGTCACACTAACTGGATGACAATAGTAAGGTAAGTAATTTTGAGATTGAGGGGGGAAATTTTGTTTCTTTCTTTGGCGGGACGGGGCGGGCTTCTCACCAATTTTTTTTGGGACAAAGCCACCTAACACTTAACATTTTCTAATACAAAACAAAAAAAATGTACTGTCGTGAAGGTGAGATAGCCTTGATTTCAATTTCAATTAGTATTGAATTCACTTATAATTTTAGAAAATGCTTTTCATTGAAACATCTTATTTTTCTGAGACATTATCGTTCTCAAGATTTTTTAGATTTCTCATCAAATCTACTTTGACTTTCTTTATGTAAGCTGATATTATTTTATCATTGTTTATCGTACATTGCTGAAGCTGAATTCGTTTTGTAATGTGCTTGAACGGACTTTCCTCATCTTGATTTTCTTTGACCTGTCCTTTTTCCTGTATATATTCTTCTATTTTATGGGTTATTTCATCCAGCAACTCTTGGCCTTCTAATTTTTTAGTATTGGGATTTATTTTTGTCAATCTGTCCCAAAATTTGGTGTAATATATCTTATAAAGACATGGAATTTGGAACTCATTAAATCCGAACTCTGAAACCCATTTATAAATCCATGGGATTGAGAATTGAATAAAAAAGTATAACAAAGTGATTTTTTCAGGGGCACAGATATGATTGTGTTGAAATTTATCAATGATAGGGGAAAATTTTAACCACTGATAGTATAACTTTGAAAAGTTTTCTGGTAAAATTTTTGTCGTTGGACCATATAATGCCCACCATTGAATAAACCAATTAGGTATAGGTGAGGAATATACATTGGAACATATTTTAATGAACCAAGTATGCTTTTTCCGAGGGTTTTCATAATAAAAGGTTTTATAAAAACTTTGGATATAATCCCAGTAAGTAAATTTCAAAGGAGGAGAAGTAGGGTTATACGTACTTCTCTTTCAGAAAGGGTTGAAATTCCCCATTCTTCAGAAGATAGGATTTTTTAATAACAATGTTTGAAAAGTTATAAACTTCAGTAGTAGTCTGATTAGACTGAAAATGTGTTATTTCACATGTCTGTCTGAGAATATTCTGATAATAATTTCGAGGTTTGTATGACTTACCGGGTATCATCACCTTTTCGGATAGATATCTTCGGAATATTATCCATGGATCATCTTTCCACTGAATATCAGTGTTTTCAAGAAGAAATATCACTTCTTTTGTGGATCCTTTTTCATATGACTTGATATCATTCTGGTCACTTTCACTTACTTTGGTGGCAAAGGTATCACCTTGCTGTTCTTGGATTTGATCCATAATCTGCTTATATAATACAGAATCATGTTGAATAAAGTCCATTATTTGAACCAATTTAGCATTTGATGAAAAGGATTCCTCTTGGGATTTTGAAAAATCAGTAGCTATAAGCTTTTTATTTCCATGCTGTATAACAAGATTTATTCCTCGTCCTCCACGACCTCTATAAGGGCTGCTTCGTCCACGATCAGGTAGATACATAATCCCTGCAAAATTTATAAAGTTATAACTGATAGTTGTAATTCACAATGTTGTAGAAATTCTGCTGTCTGAGCTAATCTCTCAGAGAGCATAATGGTCATATCATTAATATATTCAAGATCATTTATATCATTCCATTGTTGGCAAAATTCCAGCTCGCATTCATTTAACATTCTTCGTAATCTCATATAATGATTTAGCCGATTGCTCTCATAATAATAATCTGCTTTTAACAAATTATATTCGGTTATAATATTATTATAGGTATGATCAAGTGTAGTTCGAGGTGTAACGCATCGATAATTATTCCATTCCATCCTGCAAATATTCACGTGATAAAAAATCAGGAAGATGATTATCTTTTCCTTTCTTGTATACAATATCAAAATCAAAAGGAGCTAAATTAGTTTGCCATCTAGCAAACATTTGCTTAGAAACATCATGTTTAAAATCCTTATTGAACATATATTTTGCTGATTGACAATCTGTCTTAATCGTAAACTTCTGATTATATAAATCATCTTGAAATTTTAAAATACATTTAACTATCGCAAGGATTTCCTTAGCAACTGTAGCATAATTCTTTTGACTTTGGGTCTATTTTCCTGAATGATATCTTACTAATTTTTCTTTTCCATCATCCGGACATACTTGTTTGAGTATTCCACCATATCTTATATCCGAAGCATCAGTTTCTACTATCTTTTCCCACTTAGGATTTGCCAAAATTAGACACGGTAGTATTTTTACTTTAATTTTTATCTTTTGCACAGCCTTAGTATGCTCCTCTGTCCAAGGCTTTGGATTCTTTTTTAATCTATCATATAAAATAGCAGTATCATATGCTAAATTTTTATAATAAGCTAGAATATAATTCAAACTTCCTAAAAATCTTTGCAATTGAGTTTTTTCTAAAATTTCATTTGAAAATTTAGAAGCAAACTCGATACTTCTATCAATAGGAATTATTTTTCCTTTCTCAATATTATGTCCTAAAATCTAACATTTGTTTGAAATAATGATATTTTTTATTGAGATATAACAAATCCGTTCTGTTTTATTAGTTTCTGAAATATATTTAAATGATCAAAATGTGATTGTATATTTTTAGAAAATATTAATATATCATCAATATAGACAATGATAAATTCACTATAAGGAATAAAAATATCATTCATGATTTTCTGAAATTCAGAAGGTGCATTCTTTAATCCAAATGGCATCACTCTCCATTCAAAGTGACCAACTGGAACATTAAAAGCAGTTTTATATTGATCTGACTCATCAATTTGAATTTGCCAATATCCAGATTTTAAATCAAACTTAGAAAATATTAATGCATCATATAATCTATCTAATAGATCCTTTTTATTAGGGATTGGATGTCTAATCCATTTTAACACCTTATTAAGAGGCTTATAATTTATTACTAACCTTGGTTTTCCTCTTTCTATTTCACAGTGTTTGTTAACATAAAAACTAGTACATGACCATGGAGAAATTGATTTTTTAATTAATCCTTTTTCTAATAGCATATTTATTTCTTCTTTACATAATTCTAATATTCAGAATTTATTTGGCAAGGTCTTGCCTTTGTCTTAATCATTGTTTTTTCATCAAAATCATCTTCATATGGAAGACTAATTACATGTTTTTTCCTATCCCAAAAAGCATTAGGATGTTCATTACAAATCTCAGTAGAAATATTATTATATACTCTTTTAATATTTTTCTGTAATTTAGGATTTTTTAAATCCTCTTCTATGGAGAATATATTAATTTCAAATTTTAAGAAATTAATCTGATTATTTTTTCTAAAAATAAGATCTTTAAATTCATTAATGAATCTCGTATTAGGTTTAGTTATAAATTTAAAAGATACAATTTTTTTGTCATATGTACCTGTGATACTATCAGTATCAATATGGGCTATGGGGAAAATTATTTTTATAAAAGGAGTTCCTAGTATAACTTAGCTAGTTATATTTTTAGATATTAAGAAACTTTTAGGAATACAGACTTGATTATTACAGATATATCCTTTAGATAATTTATAGTTTATATCTAATGCTTTTCCATCAGCATGTCTTACCACGTGAGTAGTTTTTTTCAAAATATTTAGTGGGAATTATTCCTTCCTGTATAACACTAACATCCGCACCACTATCAATTAGTGCTATTAATTCTATTTGATAATCATGATCTATTAATAATTTAATAATAACATGGAATTTAAAAGAAGTAATTAAGTCTAAAGATCCTAGGAAATTTTCATTTCCTGTTTCATTTATTAATATGTTCCTATAAGAATCTACTTGGTTTTTATTCTCTAAATTAGAGACTCTGTCATCTAGACTTCTATTAAGTCTTTTTAAAGTTTTTACTTCTTTCTTGAGATTGTTAATCTCTTCTTCTAAGTCACTTACCAATGTAGGATTTTTTTCTATCCTATTTGATTTTTCTCTCAGCATTTTATATACTTTATCCATCATATATGGATTATTATCTATTTCCGGCAACTTATCATTACTACTACTTGGGATGTCACCAATTTGTTCAATTATCTTTGATCTTAACTCTTGATCTTTTATTGATCTCAAGAATTCCAGAATATTATTACTAGTTAAAACACTAATGTCTGATTCTTTGAATTGAGATATAATTTTATAAAATTCTTCATTTTCATTATTAATTTCTTTTATGTAACTATCAGTTCCCTTAAAAGGATCACAACACTCAGTTTCATCTCCTGAACTTTCTGATGTATAATTTAACCGGTCTATTTCAGCCTCATCTGGCTTTCTGATTCAAATTCTGAATTTAACTAATTAATTAATTCAGTTTTAATTTCCTAGCTAATATCTAAACTATTTATTCTTTTTTTCATTTTGCATCTATTTGCAAAATGTCCTGGCTGTTTACATTTATAACAAATTAAATTAATTCTATCTTTCTTATTCTCAAGTCTTTTCATTTTTCTTATTGTTCTTTTATTTATTTTTTCTTGAGAATATTTTCTCTTCTTTTTCTTATAATACTTGTCATCTTTTTTAAAATTTTTTACCATTCTTTTTTCTGATGGAATTTCCATACCAAATTGACTGCAAAACTGACCTAATTGTTTTCTTTCATTCAATCTTTGTCTTTTAATTTGTTGATTCAATTTTATCTCATTACATAAGGCTAATCCTTCTTGAATGCAAGTTCCTATTAATCTTCCATAAGTATAATCTTCATAAGGAATATTTATCCTTTCTTTTCTTAAAACTCTCCTAACTCTTTCTGCAAATAAACTTGGTAATTTATCTATAAATTTAGATTTCCAATAAACACTATTACTATCATGTAATTCCATGACTTTATTAAGAAAAGCATCTTTATACCATCTGAAATCAGATAATGTTTTACATCTTAAATTCTGTAATAAAGTGCGAATATTTTCCCTATTATCAGAGATTGTTCCTGTAAAATGTTCTAGTATAGTAACAATCAGTGTATAAACTGCATTTTCTACAATCTGAGATCCTTCTTGTTTAACCGTTCTATAAATTTCGCCAGTAAATCCTGCAACTATCATTTTTGCAATTCCTACATCATTATTTCCATTTTTTTTACAAATAGTACTATACATTAACATTCTATGGGCCAAATTATAAATTTATTTTTCGGTATATCCATCTATATTCCATTCATAAATACACTTCCCACTGTAACTATTATTTAGTATATGTTCCTGCTCTTCATGTAAAATATCTGCAAGAGAAGGTCTATTATAATAATACAACCTCTGAGTGGGTTTATTAGCATACTTATTTAATTTATTAATCTCATCACTTATTATAGTTTTATAATCCTTATCTTGTTCTAATTTTTCTGATAATTCTTCTTCCAAAGTATTAATCTTTAAATTTTTAAATTTAGTATCTAATAGTTTCTCTAACTCTGACAAAGATTTTAATTTAAAATCTTTTATTTCAGGTGGTGGTTGAAGAGTTGGTGCTGCAACAACATCTTCTCTAGTATTACTAAAACTAGTGTCTCTATTATTTTCTATTAAATATATTAATTTATCTAACCTACCTTGTAAAGATAAAATTTGTTCTCCTAAGACATTCAAATAAACATTTGTATAATTATTCTGTTTTATTATCTTATTCATTTGTTTACAGTTATAACCAATGTTTCATCTTCAAATAATTTTGAATATGCAGAAAAACTCATAACATTATTTTCCTTTTCTATTCTAAAAGGTTGTTGTGGAGGAAATATTGCTTTTAGCGTATTTCCATTCAAGAGTTTCTAATCTCTTTCTAATACACATATATGTGGTTCAATATAAACAGATATAAACCATGGTACAAAAGGAAATAAGATATTATGATGTGATAAAAACTTATAAAATTCATCCGAAATAAAGTTTTGTATTTCTAAAGAGAAATTTGGGAAAAACCACTTTCTAAATGGTTCCCATCTTGGAAGATTAAATTCTTCTTTGACTTGATGTCTAGCCAAAGAACCTGGACTGAAATCTATCTTATTCACATTGAAAATGCCATTTCTGATTCAGATATTTCTTCATCTTTAGTGTTATAAACACCTTTAACAATATTTTCTTTATTTTTTACCAATTTATCAACATGACGATTATTCTCATCACGTTCACTAACTTGTGAAGTAGAAACATGATAAGGATGTTAACTGTATGAGGTAGAAGCACGACTAGGAATACAATCTTTATCCTCTAGTAGAGGTGAAATATAATGAGTTGAATATGATCGAGATAATCCAGATCTATGAGATCTGTTATTATTCAATAGGAATAGATTATTCCTTATTTGTATATAAACATGTTCTTTAGGAGTTTATTCAATAGAACTTACTTCTGCATTTGTTTGTGACTGGATATTACCAGTTCTTTCTATAACCCATTGTTCCGGAATAGGTATTTCATCCCATTTAATTGTTCTTCTAGTAGTAATATTTGATTTATTGAAATTAGTTTTAATTAAAACTGTTTCATTTATATTTTTATCAATTAATTTACAATTGGGATTTAAAGTCATTAAAGGTTTATAATAAATTCTATAACATATACAAATCAATTTTGATCCAGTCATATAATTATATCCAAGAGTTTTAACATTCAAAGTTAATGCATCAAGTATATTAACATCACTTAAAGATAATGAAAGATTTGGATAAACATTAAAATAAACTGGTCCATGAGCTAAGCTAGATTGTATTATTCCCATTAACGATTGTTTCCAATTTAAATTTCGAGCATCTCGTAAACAAGCTATGAAGCTTTCTGGTAATCCTTCTAAGGTTAATGGTTTAAAAGCAATTTGTACCAAACCAATATGAATAAATTTATACAATTGACAATATCTATTAATATCATCTGATTGTAACAATTTAATTTCTATTTCCTCATTATCTAAAGAAATAGATTCTTCAGTTGTTTTAACAACTTGTTTTAGACCTGATTTTTCAAAAGTACCTAACTGATATACAGTGTCCATTTATTTAGTTCCTCTAAATTTTCAGGAATATCATACTCTTGTTTTAGACTATTTTTAACAGTCTTCTTGTTTTTCTGAATTAAATTCATTTGAATATCAAAAGTGGTTGTTGGGATAAGATTCAGTAATTACAAGTCTACTCATGGCTTTGATACGACAACTCAGGAAAGGGACAAGAAACCAGTTAAGTTATCAAGCCAGAGAGGAAATTTTACAGAGTGATTTAGTCTTTCAACATAAACATATATGAGCAAACTGGGATCAACGCCCTTAACACGCCTTTCACACGGCTTTAAACAGGGCTAACCCTACTCATAAAAATCATGACCAGACAGAATCACGTTTACTCATGGCAAGATCGTACATAACTAATTAACTATCATTCCTTCATCAGGATCATAACTATGATAATCCTTGTAATAACATCATTTTATCCCAACCACCAGGCTTATTAGCTTATCATTACAAGTAAAAACAAGTAAGAAGAAATACTTACAGGAATCAGGGGAGCTGAGCTCTTTTATTCCAAGCTTCTAAAACTTTGAAAATATTTTACACTGAGAAGAGAAAATGAATAGATTTCTGAAAATCGGTGCCTCTACAACTAAACTAACAATCTCTATTTATAGGCTCAGATTTCCAAAAACTATAAATTCTATTTTACAAATGGATTTGAAATCCGTTCACTTATTGTGAATGTCTTTCTCAGATATGACTCAAGTGGGGTCCATATGCCTTAATTTTCAAAAAGAGATTCCTGCTTTTGTCTTTTCACAACTTTTCTTTTCCTTTTCCTGATTGTGCTGTCTCCTGGATCTGATGTAACAGATTGTTGATAAATTCATTCGTCATCATTGTCTGGTGCCTGAGATTCTCCGGCTAATATTGCAAATGAATTTTCTTCGTTCGAAGTAATGCTTTTCATTTAAACATCTGATTTTTTTCTGAGACATTATCGTTCTCAAGATTTTTTAGATTTCTCATCAAATCTGCTTTAACTTCCTTTATGTAAGCTGATATAATTTTAGAACGCTATCAACTCCAAATACATGTCAACAGTTTTAATTGACAATCAAATAGTTTAGTCAAATAAAGTAAATTATTTAAATGAATTATCGATCAGCATTTGTAGGAGTAATAAATCTTGAGTGGTATTTTTAAATCAGGCAGTGGAGATCTGCTCTATCGAATTTTGGACCCAATAATAGTAATCCGAAAATCACGTTTCAATAGTCAAAAGACCGATGAGTTAACGTCTATTGTCAGACTTCCCACTAAAATAAATAATTTCGCCCAACAAAGAAAGACATTAAAGAACAGTCCGTCCTATGAACATCGTCATCCTACCAAGCAATCTTGACTCTTCGTGTGACCTTTTTTTCTGCGGCATGGGTTTTTGGACAAGTTACTAGTAGTTGTGCCCAACTTTAAAAGTCTAGTGCTTAACTAAAAATGTCCAAAGGAAATGTTATCTTGGAGGCCCAAAACTTATCTCACTCAAGCCCATTACTAGCAAAAATAATAGAGAGAACAAAACTGGACTTTTTTCCTTCCTCTAGGGACAAGGTATCAATATAATTTGATTTCTCAGGATCTCTCTGCCCAGAAATAAACAAAAACTTCAAATAGATTGTGATAGTATATTGATTTTTGATAGTAATAATTTGTTGACATGGTTACACTTGATCTGCTGCTCCTGTACTTTGTGGCTCTTCTTCTTTTGACACTGAACTGCTACTATTTGTAGATGATGCATTTTTCTGGAGCATCCAACTCTTAACTGCTGCATAAGTATTGATACAATCAAGCAGGATGGAGTACACCAGCAAAACCGCCAAAGGAATCAGAATAACAGTGAAAAAGATGGCCATTAAGGCCTTCCCCACAGTATTCTGATGCTTCAGGTGTTCAAACACAATGACTATAAACCTCACCATCAACCCTGCAACCATTACAACGAATAAGGCCATTACTGCTCTCCATGTAAGCTTCCATTCATTGTGGAATGGCTCGTGTTCATCCGTCTTTGATGCCTCCATCTTCATTTTATTGAGCTTCAGTTAGCCCATTTGACAGTCTTTGTAGTATGAGATTATAAAGAGGCATGAATCAGTTTTTCTCTAAAATCAAGTTGAAAGGTACAGTTGTATGATTCTGTTAGGACAACTGAAAGAAAAAAAGAGGAGGATCAAATTGCACTGTAGAGCATACTTATTTTGGTTAAAGAACAAGATAAAAAAGCCTGGAAAACGGCAAAAGATGAATCCTCTATATCTACTTGACGTTTGTTATGGGTTTTTGAAACATGTAAAACATCGGCAAAGTAATAAAGTACAGATTCTAGTTAGCTACTCCCTCTGTTCCTAATTATATGACACTAATTAAAACTAAAACTTAGATAAAATTTTTGTGCCTTATCATTGGACCATATGGAGTATTTGAAAACTATATTTTTCAAATAGGAATTAGTTTCTCTGTCTGATTGTCTCATACTAATCAAAGGTGTGGTATCTCTCTGTATCAAAATAACACCAGCACACATTTAGAGAGCTACTAGCAAATTAAGAAGGGACATACAAATTAACATAGCTCATCGACAAGTCTTATTTTGAGTTCTACGACTGAGTACAGATTTTTTGCCTCCTGCACAGTGACATGCGGAGGGAAGTCATTGCTCATTAGTGAATATACAACAAATCTAGCCTGAGGGAATTTACACTGCTTCCTATGATCAATCTGCAATCAGTGACCAAATACACACAAACAACAGATTATTTGAGCAAGCCCAAACCGCCATACCACCTACATTACTCCATATGAACCCTGCTTTAGTCACAGGCATCATGTCACAACAAAGAGATCAAACTCCGTTTGAAACTGTAGTTCCTTGCTGTGTTTCGAGGTGCAAAGTTGAGGCCAAACATTTCCTTAGGAGTCTTTTGGCCTGGCTCGATGAAACCAACCAGTTTTGCAACAACGTAGGCACTATCAGCAATGTGGTTCATGTCCTCGGTGTTGGTCCACAAGAGATGTGCCAGCTGCAATCTCCTTAGTTTAGTATTCAGCCCGACTCCCCATTTCAGGAACAGCCCCTCTCTTTCTTGTTCCGATAGCTTCTTCAGCATTTGCTTGCTTAGCATTCGCCTTTCTTGACGAAGAGCCTTCGTGCTGCATTTCAGGAAAGATAAAACGAATCAATTAATGACATCAGGAAATAGAAACCGAGGAGAATGGAATAAGGGCCCTTTAACGCATACAACAGCATTTTCACGTATATGTATAGCATATTTGAGTGTGGAACCACCTTAAAGCAAGTGACAGAGTCCGATCATTAACAATAGTTTTCTCTCCGCGAGAAAATGTATCCTTGAGAAAGGTCATCCTCCTTATCTCAACCTCCATATAAATAGCATCCGTGGGGTCACCTTGGAATAAGAGGTAGAAATAGGTTCTATGCACCAGTGAAACATTACAAGCATGCCAAAGTTCAATAATTTCCTTTTGAAGCCTCTTGAATTCTGTAGGCCAATTAGTAAGATTCTTTGGCTCATTTGGCTCGTATTCATCTTCAATTGGATCTAAGCCCACATCTTTTGTACTTTTCAAAGGTTGATTGGCATTTTCTGCAGGCTCTTTTATCTGGAAAATTTCAAGCCATAGAAGAAAGAAGTTAGATCAAAGATATGTTGAACTTACGGATTTTAAATCATGGCTAGATACTTGATTAAAAAGATGGGAAAAAGTAAAACTCACTGGAGACTCAGGAGTTTGATATTCGTGAAGAAACACCTCATCTTTGCTTGATGCATCGATGCTTTTGCTATTATCATTTCCAGAAGATTTCTCCCTTGCTTCTTCAAACTCAACGTCAACAATTCTCTCTGCAGAAGGGAGAGAATCCATCCTTGATAACCTTTCTACATCTAAATCAAATAGAAGCAGTTTCCTTTCAATACCCTCAGGTCTCCCAACAAATTCTCTTTCTGACTCATCTGGTGGTGTATGGTTCGTCAATATACTTGAGTTGCAGGTTCTGCTTTTCGTTAGGTCAAAGCTTTCACTTCCAGGGGAATTATCCGTTGCATCATGCATAGGAGATGAATCTTCTGCATGAGCAAAGGAATCAATGCAGTGCAACTCTTTCTCATCCTTCAAATGTGGAGAATCCAACTTCTCATCATCATCTGGAGGTTGGTATTCAAGTTCTTGGTGTTCCTGATGTGGTACTAGCTGTTTTTCTTCCATCAATGGTTTCGACATGCTCTCATCCTCCAATGGCGGTGAGAGTGGTTCGGGAATCCCATTGTCTCCGGCAGAAGTTACTGACAAAGTATGACATTGGGATTCTACTGCTAGAGGGGAACTCAACTCTGCTAAGTCGATGCAACGAACTTCCTTGCATATATCTTCTGATGCAGCATTGCTTCTTTTTTCCACTTCTTCCCACGCATGAAATGACCCGGTCTCGCTAAAATTGGAAACAGCTAACACCTTGGGAGATATGTCATTGTTTGAAAAGTTTTCCAAGTCTGGTACTCGAATGAAATTATCTTCAGAGCTACTTCTGCTGTGTCCAAAAGAAAATGTCTGGGAATCTGCTAAGCTAGATGTATCTGGGGCTGGGATTTCAGAATCAGGTGACCCATGGATTCGCAGGTTTGGGTAGTGTCCGAAGCCAACCTGGTGCAGATGGTAACTTTTTAGCATGAAACAGTTCACAGAACTAGAAAAATGTTTAAATTCAAAACTATCAAACATACCCCCATCATCGAACTTCTGTCATCTCCTACAAGGTTCATAAATTCCTTGAGTTGAGATTGAGCTATGTCTCGCTGCAGAATCAGATCTTTTACCTCCTTTTCAAGCTACATAATCAGGAAATGCAGATTTTATGTTAGTTTACAGCAAGAGTAATTTTGCAATTTGTCCTACTATTTTTCACAGAACTAGTTTTTCATGGAATAATTGTTTTCCTGGCCAAAAGACTACAGGTAATCAGTCCATGAGAGATTGCAATAGAATTTTGTTACACGAAAGTTCAAAAACAAATTTGTTTTCAAAACGAACAAGGGCGCTATTCCATTATTTGTACTGTGAACCAAAGATATGTATGTATAGCAGATACAATAGTTACCTGTTCGATCTGATGGTCTTTATCCCGAAGAAGTGCCGCATAATCTGATGTTACAATGGTGGTTCCTGGACTTCTCATCTGACTCTCTAGTCTGGCCAATTCCCTCTGCAAATGTTTTACCAGTGCTTTCTCAGACATGACAACATTCACTTGTGCATTGGTGGTAACTTCTTTAGCACAACTTGCAAAAAGGAGTGTGTTTCTTGATTGTTCAACATGACAGCGTGCAGGGCTCATTGTGCAAATGATGGCTGTTCTAGCATTGCCAGCTAAAGATGATTGCAGAATGCGAGTCAGCTTGGAATCTCTGAAGGGTATATGTCCATTTTTGCCCTTGCTGTTTGATAAGGCAGACAAAAATCAGATACTTATGAAATACTGTACATGAAGAGGCAGAAACAAAAAAGAAGCTTATGAAAGATTACAACATATCAGACGGCTGCAAGAATTTCACATTACTATCCCCAATTAAGTTGCAGTTTCTCTAGATCAGTTCAGCCAATAGAAAGTAGCAGTTTTGGAAATGTCAGGGTTTTGAGATCATGTTTATGGAGTAGAGAGTGATGTTCACCTTAACTTGCGAATCACAGTTCCTAAGGTTAGCAAACTGCGGTTTATATGACAGCCTTCTTTTAATCTAGTTCCTGCTGATAATGACTGAGATGCACGCTCACTTCCAGCCAAATCCACAAAATTCTAAATTGAAACAGGAGAAGAAAAAAATTACAATGGCCTTCACCATATGATCTCAGTTTTTAAATTTCAGCTCAAACAATTCTATTTCAAAAAATTAAATTCATACCACACTAGCAGTAAGAGTGCTGAAGTTATCCCTGCCTAAAAATTCACGAGTGGAACTTTCGATTGTCTGCAGCCAAAAGAAGATTACAATGAGTTGTGAAGTTTATGTCCATGTTAAAGTAGACAAATAGTGGTGCCAGCAAAACATACCAATCTGATTATTTGGTGGGATCTAGAACTCATTTCATTCAGAGCAGTCTCTCCAATCTGCCTTTGAGCTGAAAAAGTAGCAGTATACAAGTCCATTAAGAATATTTGACTTTTAGGAGAGCCCAAGCACATTTGCTTTTATCCTTACCTTCACAAAGAGACAGGAGCTCGATCACATGATCCCAGTCCCTCAAAGTTTCCTCAGTGAGTTTCTCAACTACAGTACCTTTCTGAAAAGATTGTGTTAGCACAAATATTTTACCAGAACCTTAAAACCAACTTAACAGTCATAATTTTACCTCAGGATCATCCAGCAGTCTAAGAGGAGAGGTATCTGTGCTAAGGAGATCTCTGACACACTCATTGTAGATTTCCATTGCAGAGAATTTCAAAATAAATTCCCTCTCCCCGTGCTGCAAACCATCCAATTTTCAAGTTGTCAGAGATGTAATGTAAAACAGAAGGTACTATTGATAAGTTCAAAATAGATGACCTTCTGTATGTAATCATATATATCCCCAAACGTATATTCAGTGATTCCAGTCATGGTGTATGTCTTCCCACTACTTGTTTGTCCATAGGCAAAAACAGTTGCTGAGCATTCATCAGGAAACATAAACATTAGACAATTTGATTAATAAAAAACTTGAAAAGCTGGGTTGTGTTGAGGATCTGGAGATAAGATGAAAGTTTCTGCCTTACCGTTGATTCCACTAACTACAGAAAGAGCTACTTCCCGGGCTCCTTCTTCATAGACCTGCCTTGTGGAACAATCGGTCCTAAATACCCTGTCTACAATCAAAATGACAGTAATAAAGAGAAATCAGGAGGAGTTCCCAACTCATGATTCAGAGTCGCATGCATTTGTCTCGCATAAAATGCAGCATCAACTGCTTTGCATCATCAGAAGGAATGTAACAAAACAAGAACACCAGAGAAATCAGATAAAATGAGTTCAAGCAGATTGATGAATTTGAACAATAAACAATTACATCTTTGCAAAGGAAAAGGACCTAGGAAGCTAGGAAAAGTTAGAGGATCCCAACAACTACCAAAAGAAGTGTTTTGACGGTAAAAAACTGCTAACCCCTTCAATTACAATCAAATCAGCTAAAATCAAGACAATGCAACCTCCCAATTCCCATTATACGGCCACATTACAAAAATTGATGAGCTTATGATCCCAAAATTGGCAAAACCTAAAAGGGTAAAGGAAGAAAAAGCACAAATATTCATGAAAATCAGCATAGGCATATGACGTGCTTACCGAATGTATAAGCCGAGGGATACATTGATCTTTCTGACACGGAAAGATTAGCATTCTTGTAAATGATAGTGGTATCATTGATACACTCCCAATCTGAAGCATCATTCTTCATAATCTCCTTCTCATTCAGAGGCCTCAATCTCACCGACACCAAAATACTCTCCTCATTGCCTTTAGGCGTCTCGCCTCCCTCCATTATGCCCATTCTCGGAAAACCCAAATGAAGAAAAGGCTCTAAAGTTTGAACCCAGACATTTTCATGTCAAGAACTGGTCGAATTTATTTCCAAAGCTACCTTCTTTCTCTTCATATCAAGCAAAAAAGGTCGGCAAAAAATAAGGGCGTGGGTTGGCCTTACAAAATTGATATCTGAAAACAAAAGCAATGATAAGTCAATGAAATCCAATCATAAACTAATGACAGAGTCTTGTCCTACGCATTGAATATGGTTCCATTCCCATATGCTTCCTCCTCCTTCTCTTTTGATTTTCCCTCTAAATTATACTAGTACGTGAAGGAAGAATGGTCCCCCTCCATTTTACAGACTGTCAAAACATTTGTCCTCATTCTAATGGATGTTTTGCATGATTGGGTTTCATTAAGAACTTAATATAAACAGAGTAATAAAGAGAATATTTTTACCTGGTGTGGTTTTAGCTGGTAGAAATTTAATATTTGTAAATGACATATGTTGACCTGGGAAATTGAGGGAAGAATTTCTCTGCTCAGAGGGTCTTTTTCAGGAATGTTCTTGCACAAACTCTCTTCTGTTTCTTCTCTCTGGAAAAATGGGAAATTTTTTGGGAGAGAAGGAAACAGAGGGACATTGTGAATCAAATCAAAGCTGTGAAATTAATTAGTGGATTGTTAGGACTTTTGGGTGGTGGTGTTTAAAAATAGGGAATTTTTGGGTCGTTTTTCTTTTTCAATTTCTGGTTGAAGGCTAGCAAATCGGTAGGCAATTAGGCATTGGTGAAAACAATGTCTTACTATTCTTGTAGGCTTTACATTTTTGTCAGCAAATTGCAATCTAACTACCAAATCTAACAATTTGCCTTAACTAAATAGGACTACGACTTCAAGATTTGCATCTTTTGATCGCTTTAAGGAAGGAGGCATTCTGCACTGCTGTTGATAATCATTAATCAGGTTGATACTAGATGGTAACATCTAAACTATTGTTTGGTCATAATCAATTTATTTCTAGTTCATCACCTTGTTTCAAAATAATTTTAATTTTATTACACTATTGGCAATTTGGCATTTCAGAACAGGGAGTGGTATATTATAGGGTCTCTTAGAAACTTCCTTAATTTGGTCATGGAGTACAAAAGTTAACACTAGTACATCATGTGCAATTTTATCTACATTTGCTTTAAAAATTTAGACTATATTCTATCTGATTCGAATCCGAATTAGTCGGATAATGAGTTCGGATACCAACTATGTGATATACCCAAAAAAAAACCATATTTGGAGAGCATCAATTAGAAGTTTTAAAACTTATTCTCACTTTAGATAATTAATTAATTTCAATTATTATTTATTCTTACTCATTAATTAATATCAACTAATTAATAGAAGTGTTTCAGGACTCTCCTTAAAATACACCGTCTATTTTTTGTTATATTCAAATGGGTTTATTGAAAGAGATTAATGTATCACAGAAAAAATGGCTATCTTCCTACCGAAACTACGGTGAATATTCGTTTTTTTTTTTAGTTTTTGTTCTCTTGGGAAATGTTCTTTGAATTCATGTTACTTTCTGAAGAGACTAGATTAATTCTTGGGTTTTGTTTTTTCTTTTTAACTCTATCATCTTTTCATACTTTCCTCTTTTGTTTTTTGCGCCGTGAAATAAATAAATATTCACTGGTGCCCTTTTTAAGGGTGGCAAAGTAACAGGAGAATGTAAGGGGGTATTTTGATCGGTGGCGAGCTGACCTAGGAAATCTATTAAGCGAAAAATATGATTTAATTATAATTACCTACGATGACCATTCTACAATATGTATTAAAAAAAATTGATTTACTTAAGCTCGTCCCGGTTTTTTCCGATTTGTTCATACGGCAACTATGAAATGTTACAGATGAAAACATGTCATATTCAAATTAAGTAATCTTTAATTGAACCGTTTTTACAATGAACAAAAGCTTAAACGACCTAGTTCATGCAAAAGTACGTAAATGTTGTTTGGTCCACTGCCCATGAGCTCATTTATCTTTTAGCCCACAGAAGAAGAAGATAAATTCACCGGTCCCCTGTACCTAAAATTCTGTTTTCTTCTATTAATGTAATTGATAGAATTTAGTGGTGGCAGGTGAAATTAGGCCAAATTTATCGTTGGAAAATTTATCATCGGCGTGCATTTGGAAATATCTGCATAATGTTCTCTCCGTTCTGAAATTATTGTACAATTACATTTATTTTTAATATAAATTGAATTATAAATAAAAATTCAAACTGAATAATAATTTTAAGACAGATGAAGTAAATTATAATCTCCTTAGATTAACACCAAATGGAAAATGTGTAAGTATATCTTAAGTTGATTAAAATTATTGCGTAAGTAAAACGTTGTGAAGGTGATAACTTAACTGATGATTACCTTGATTAGGAATCTTGCCCCGTTACGTACGCTAAATGATCAAATGGATATGAACAATATCGTGTAATGTGAAGTGATTAAAAAAGCACTCGAAACCTGAAAGTCCTCCTAAGTCCTAACTCTTATGATTCCAGTTGCATCATAATTAGTGTAATGTGAAGTGATCAAAATATAATTAGTTCATTCTCTAATAATTACACTAAAGTCTTAATTCATAATTAACTCTTAAAAAACATGGAAGCATGAACCAACCAATGAAGATCAGCTTTATCCTTGAACGACCCAACGTGGCTTCGCAATGTTAGGAATTGCTTTTAGAGATGAATGAGAAACTGGAAAATGTATGCGATAATGGAGACCAACTGACCATTAAAATCTTTGAAACGATGAACCGCAAAAGCTGCCGAAAGCCTGAAACTTAAAAACAAAAAATAATCAAAAGTTTCATTCTTCATGATCAATTTGGTTTCATCTTGACAATCAAGGGATCTATTTTTTTCGATCTTGACCAGAACTCAAACTCTAGATTCTATACATTTGTTCGGTAAATTTTGTTCAATGTCTGGAATTATAGACGGAAGGAACTGTTCATTTTTTCTGATCGCTGTAAATATTTCCCCGAAAACCTATGGTAACAAGAGTTCATTGGACTATCTCTATTAGGTTTTTCAAATCGATCGAAGCATCCGCCGACTCTCTAGATAATTCGTAGGTCCATGACCTATAAGTAACGGGTAATGTAATTAAGTCGAAAAACAATTAAGTTATGATGATGATTCCAAATAAACCATACCAAAAAAAAGAAAAAAAGGAGAAGTTATAATGTATTAATAATCTGCGGGGACCTTTTGACCTCCAATAAAAATTACGCATATAAATAATAACAGCCCATGTGCTTCGATGAATGAATGGCTTTTGTTCTTCTTTTTTTTTTCCCTCATCATTCCTCTCTGCCATTGAAAGGACCATGATGATTGATGAAGAAGGGGCAAAGATATATTGTACTACTTATGTGTCATTGCATGTGACTTCAGGGATAAAATTTTTCTTTTTACATGAAACCACAACCTGTCACTCTTTATTGATGAGTTAGGTGAGGCTGCGCTTTTAGATTCTTTCTGTATCACTGCATGAATTAATCAATATTGGTATATGTTAAATACATGTATTATGAATGGCCATTGTACTTGGTATAGTGTAACATAACTCCATTAATTTATTATTATGTGGAAGAACTTAAAAACAACGTTATCCTTTGTTCAGCTTATAGCTAGCTCTCTTCCGCTACTAAAAACAATAATTTGCATTGTTTTTTTTTTTAATAATGCCGGGAACCCCACTAGAGATGGGTAAACTTACGCCCACTGTAATAGCTTGCAAACCACATTGGGAAATAAACTACCTTAGGCATATCCGGGGTGACAAACCCGGGTGCGAAATCAGGTGTCATTAGTGGATTAGCCATAACAAACCCCTAGAGATACCAATAAGAAAAGTGAAAGCCTACCCCTCACTTTTTTGTTGGAGTGGGGGATAAAATAATTTGCATTGTTAATGCTGATTTTCGATCCTTCATTGAGGGGAAGCTCAATGAAACAAAAAGTTTCCTTGAAATCTCACTATTGTTGATTTTCTCTTTGGTGTGTGTTTTTTGTGGTGGTTACGTACATTGATTATATCAGTTGTTGACAAAAAAAATTTAATAAATTGAAGCTAGTTATGTACATTGTATTTAACTAATTAAAAGACCCAAAAATCTTAGTCAAAGGAACTAAGAAAGACCAACTAGGGACATAGAAAGTGGGAAGTTGGACGATTGGAAGGCAAGTTTGACCGAAGAGTGTCCCTTGTAAACGTCTTATTACCATAAAAAAATTAGTTTGAGGGGCTCCCCCCCCAGAATCTGTTGCCCTTGGTCACTGGTGTCCTACACTTCAATTTTCAAAGCCACACATTGTGTTGAATTTGAGTAACCAATCCAAAATCATTATGTTTGACTTGTAGCTTCAATTACGAATGACTTCGAGCTCAAATTTAAAGCTTTCAGTTTTAGGCACTTGAAAAGGGTCCCTCTCTTATAATTTATGTTTTGGATTATTATACTTACATTATTAAATCACGATACAATAGACCATTTTTCCTTGCAACAACTGAAATGTTTGCACATAGTTCTTCTTTTCTGAAATTGACATATCTCCTCATACAATCCTGAATCCACTATAAACCTAAGTTAAACAATCTAAAAAAAAAGAAAAAAGACCCTAATGTATCGTTGAAGACAGAAGAAATCCATCTCCATATCTCCTCAACAACGATCTATACTGTGGATTAACGTAATTTATCATTTGAGTGATAACTTGAGATTAGATCAAATAATATTTATACCTGTGACAATGAATACTTTACTTTTCATCACTATAAATATTTTTGAAAACTTGCATCACGGTGCCGGCAACAAGATGCCATTACTTCTAGTTCTTGGCGCCCAAGTCACAAAACCAACTCTCAAGTTTTATTTTGTTTTTTAAAAAAAGAAAGATCAAAGTTCAAATACCTCTGTCCTGTCTCTTTGATGAACTTTTTCCAAAGAGTGAAAAAATGTACTCCCTCTGTCCCAAAATTATTGTCCAGTTTGAAATTTCACTTTTAGTATAATTTGATCTAGAAATGAAAACTCAAATTGGATAATAATTATGGGACGGAGGGAGTAAAGAATAAAACAGGCTGCTTAATTGTGCTTGAGAGAGAGAGTAATGATAAGAAACCAAAACTGTATTCAAAATCGGGTCGAGTCTTAATCAGGGTTGTCCACACGCCAGGCAGCCCACCCGCATGCTGAATTAAATTGAAAGAGAGATCGAGATTGGCCATTTTCATGCATTTTTCTTTCTTGGCCCATGAATGAAAAAGATTAGTGCCCACTCCCCCGCTCTCTCCTTTTTGAAGTTTCATTCAAACAAAATTAAAGTCATCAGTCCAGATCGTGACTCCTTGCTTCGAAAGTAATGTATCGAAGCAACTTTTTTTGGTTAGACCTGATCGAGACTTATTGCATAGCAATAATGTGCCACTTCCATTCTGGTTAGCAACACAAGTCTTTTGTGACTTTGGCTGGTCTCCTTCGTTTCTTTTTTTTTTTTTTTTCCCAAAATAGTTCCAATATACAGTTCAAGACGGATAGCGATAGAACCAATGAAAATCCACATTAAAATGAGATAATAAATTGTTAAAAGAATCCTTAGATCATGTACTCAGTTCGTTATGAAATTATTGTCTAGTTTGGATTTTCATTTCTGATATAAAATGTACTAAAAATAAAAATCTAAACTGAATGATAATGTTGGACGGAGGGAATACTAAACAGTGGCCGAATTTCAATTCGTTTGCATGTCATTTTTCATTTCAAAATAGAGAACCCATTTTGAATTTTGATCACAAACCAGTATTGGTCAAAGTATGTTTACGATTGTTGCAAAGTTTGATGGGCCAACTCACAAGCACATTTGAAAATGTTTTTCGTCTTATGAGCTGGCCCAATCAAATTATAACCTTGCCAACCAAGAGTAGCATCAGATTGTCACAGTCCACACATGGAATGGGCTCGTTACATCTCAAACTTATGCATTTTGTAAAATTTATACGCAAGTGATAATAATAACAAACAAAAATTTTGATATATATATATATATATATATTTAAAAAATCAACCTATTTCTCCATCCTCATTCTCTCTGATTTTTCTGTTGAATAGATTACAAGTAAATTTTTTTGACACATAAATTGGCAGAGTTAATCTCATTGATCTGAAAATAAACTTTGGGACTAAGCAAGCACATTAGGCCCGTGTTGACTGATTACATCTTGTCATCAGCCCGTTTCATTCCAACCCAACCCTCTTAATGGGTCCAGTATGATTTAATAAGTGCACGTGCTTCACTTCTTTTTCTTTCTTTGAATGAACCAATATCGTGTACTGTTTATTGTCGTAGCTTCTCAATTTTATTTTATTTTATGCTTTTTTTTGGGGCCGACATAGAGTTTACGTACAGTTTACAAAGGTTATTCTAATGATGATTTTTCAGGTGATGATAAACAACTTTTTTTTTTTTTTTTTTTTTCATTTTCCAGAAGACAAGAATACCTCATTTCATGGTTTTTCCCAGGTTCCAACCGCAAACGCGTCTTGGCGGGTCGATATCTGTTTCCTCTTTCATTCCCTTTCTGCACAGCCTCTTCCATCAATCCATCATGTTAGCTAGGCTACACAAAATCAACTAATCAAGCACAATCTAAGATCTAAATATCTAGAATATTTTCCAAGATATATCAACAATTCTGTAGTATATACTATCTGTAGCACTATCTAAAAAAATGATACCATTTTTTTTTTTTTTTTGGATAATCTAATTTTTCTAAATCTAGTTTCACTCCCTACTTACCAATGAATGAAAATTTCAAAAGCAAATGTAGGTACAAATGTATATGTAACGAGCGTTATAGTTAAAAAAAAAAAAAAAAATTGTAACACCAAAGTTTAACTGAATGTCTGTGTTAAACTGTTAAGTTTGCATTGGGCAACGATGTGGATGTAATGAGGGAAAGGCACGTTAATTAGTAGAGGAAACATCCAAGAAGTTTCTTCCAAATCGGATAGAGGGTGATTAAATTAATTAATACAGATTACATATAGTACTACCTTCCAATCTTATCCAGCTTATGTTCTAACAATTAGCAATCTTACCCAAAAGGCCAAATCCAGATACATTCACTGAGCTAACTAGTTGTTCAAAGAAATCTGATGAGTTGATATTTTTATTTGGATGGGAACAAATAAGCTGAATTCTAAGCATATTTACAATCCAACGTGGTTCAACACCCATGTTAAATTTTGCGGGTTATGAGTATGACCGAGCAGAGTGAACAATACTACTAGTTCATAATTAGATAACTTTGTCGGAATTAATGTAGCTTTGTCCGAATCCAAAGTAAAGAAGCTTCCCTGGAAGCTTCCTGCATGCATCCGTACCGACTGAAATTGACCATTCTCGTGCTTTTTTATATTTCAAAACAGAAAAAATTGATCACATCAGATTACGAGGAAGATCATCAGGCAGAGAGTTTCATTCAACAAAAATATATATAAATCGAGTGCTCGGTCATCCAAAATTCAAAGCAATTGCAACTCAGAGAATCAAATCAAATCAAATCAAATCGCGAAGAAGAAATGTCAACAATGGAGATTGAGGAAGTAAGCAGCTACCAAACGCTGCCGCTTCTGTCACTGAATCACGTCTCGTTGGTGGTTAGATCCGTCTGGACTTCCCTCAGATTCTATGTCGATGTTCTGGGCTTCACTATCATCAAACGCCCTTCTTCCTTCAAATTCGTTGGAGCTTGGTAAATTAATACTAGCTAATTCTTTATATCCGTTTAATTGGTTTAAAAAAATAAAATAAAATTCCATTATTCTAATTCTCCTTGGTGATATCAATTGGAAAATATTCCGAGTGGCAGGTTGTATAATTATGGTATTGGCATCCATTTGATTGAGAGCGAAACCGTTGATGAATTCCCAATTGAACCCCGTCCCATTAATCCTAAAGATAACCATCTTTCCTTCCAGGTAAGTTGATCCATAGTTTAAAGTTTTTACTCCGAAAGTTATTGTCCAATTTTTATACAATTTTAACTGAAAATGAAAAATCTAAACTGGAAAATAATTTTGGGATCGAATGAGTATTTCCTTCTTTTAATTATCAATCTTTAGCTAATTTAATTGAAATTTTTTGTAGTGCACTGATGTGAATCTGGTGAAGAAGAGGCTGGAGGAGATGGGAATGAAATACGTGACGGCAATAGTGGAGGACGAAGGGATCCAGGTGGATCAGGTCTTCTTCCATGACCCGGATGGCTACATGATCGAAATCTGCAACTGCGAGAATATCCCTATCCTTCCCGTTTCCACCTGCCCGATCAAGCCCAATTTCGGACCCGCCACCGCCTACGTTGACGACAAGGTGGCAACGTCGGTGGCCGTGGCCGTGGCGGCGACGGGGATCAAGTGTGGGCTGGTTCTTGAGACCATGATGATGGACAACTTGACCATGGAAATGCTCAATTTTGCTTTCTGAAAAAGTTGTCAATTAATTGGCAACATTTCATTCCATTCGATTGGCTTTGCCTCCATGCCCATGCATGCACAGTCCTATACACATATATCTCCAAAACCCTCGAGAGTGAATATATACATATCTATGCTACAAACGCATCCTGATCAGGTCCTCTTGTTCCATTCAAAGTGTGCTTATTTTTGTATCTCTTGCTATTATATATTTGGATGTATAAAACGTTCAGACTTTTGTATTGTGTATTCGTGGAAAACAGAATAATTTGATTTTTGGAGAAGGGATTTTTCGCCATCATATCTTATTAGTCCAATCAAATTTACTGTTAATGGGACTGAATTGATTCTTCCTTTTTTCTTTTTCTTTTTCTTTTTAAGACTAAGATTGGGAATGCAAAATCAGTATAGTGCAGGATAATTGTGATTAACAGTTGGTATGGTTTCTGATTATCGGTTCATTTCGGGGGTGAATTTATTGTTTAAACATCAAATTCTAATATTTTAGAATCAACTCATTCTTTTCCCATTTTATAAAAGAAAATTTTGTTTGGGTTTTCCTTTTTTCCCAGTTTTCCCTTTTGTATTCTGAAATTAACGAAAACCCTAAATTACCTATGTATACATGAATTTCAGACTCAACATGGGAGCATGAACACCGTCATGACAATCAACTAGGATATTAAGATCTGTTGTAAATGGCACCCCTTGAATATAATCATCAACGAAATATTTAATGGCCCTTTGTCTTTTTGTGTGGTGATGATATAGTTTTAATTATGCCTCCTGAGAGTTTCTTTAACTGGAAATCAGTAGCCCTGATAGTTTCACGTTTTTTGTAAAGAGATTCATAGTTGGTACTTCATTATGTGTAACAAGCTTTTCCAAATCTCACCTAAAATTAATCATATTCGCCATAATATGAGCAAAACTCAAATCAATAAACAAGAACATAAGTATTTTCCACAAATATCCGATCCAATACTCTGGGTAAACTCATTACTCATCAAAATTTAAATGTGTTAGGCCAAGCTGAAAGTTGCATATGAATTTAGTTTTTGAATAAATATTGACGAAAAGACCAGCTAAATTCGCCATTGTGGAGAACCTCGTGATCCCATATCATCGTCTTAGTGTCGTATATAAGGCTATGGTTGTTCATGGTACGTCAACTTAGGCATTGCTATATGTGACTCTTGTAGTAATTGACACATTCCGGGTTTATTAGAAAAAAAAAAAAAAGGTACTTACATTGTAAAACATATGAGTGTCCACTCATTGCTGATTTTGAAGATAATTTGCAAAATTTTCCATTAAGTTTTTTTTTTCCCTATTTTAGATTAGACCAATTTGGAACTATATAGAACGTACGGTCTCCAAATGAATGCGTAAAAGAGATACTTCCCCCGTCCCAAAATTTTTGTCCAGTTTGAGATTTCACTTCTAGTACAATTTGAACTAGAAATGAAAACTCAAACTGGACAATAATTATGGGACGGAGGGAGTATTATTTTTGAGTTTGAGGCCCGACTCGGAAATTTGGTTAGATTCAAGTAGCTAAATAGATACAGATCCAATTTAATTGGATGTTTTGGAAATTTAGAAATATATAATCAAGTCTATTATTAATCTAAAAGAGACAGTGTTAAAAGAAACAAACTGCATTGCAACACAAAAAGTGTGGTACTCCATCCGTCTTAAAAACAACATATATTTTATTATATTCTGCTAGTTCGACAAAATCAAAGCCAAGACTTATACAAGCGGAGATCAGCAGGGTTATTATCTTTGCCCAAATAAATACCATCCTCTTACAACATAAAGGCAAACGTTGTAACTATAGTACTTCCCGCAAACTTCCGATGCAAGATCACTGTTGAACACATCAAAAACCAAAGAATATTGGCCAAACCGGAACCTGCAATAGTACAAAGTGGTTTTGAACCAGTTTTAGTTGAAACTAAACCTAGACTCTTCCAGGTATTTCAACTCATGCACTCTAAGATCATTATCTTTAGATTTGCAATGTAGCAGTAAATCGGGTCCTCCAGGAGCACCATTTACTACTCTCACCGTGTATCTATCCCAAAAGGCTTCCACATGAATTGCTTGGAGGAAATATAATGGGAACATAAGTATCGAAAGAAGGTTTTTGATTGCTTTGTATTTGGCCCCTTTTGTTGTAACTAACTGATTTATCGAAAAAAAAATGAAGTCAATCGAATGACAAGTGATGAAGATAGGTTAAGGTTTTGCGCTGCCATTTATTGTACAAATGCATGAAGTGGAAATGATGGGATAAGATTCACGAAGACATAATTGATATCGAAGAAAATTCGCCTTAAAATTCGCCTTAACCTAAATTACGTATTCATAATCATAATTCGTTGGAAAATCTGGATCTTACTAAAAAAATTCGCCTTGCTTTGATTGATTGTAAAAGACAAATGAAATTATACCGTTAACCAGAAACTGATGAATACTCATCCATTTGATGGCAATATACAAAATCAAATTCTAAACGCCCCCAAAATGTTAAGAGGTGAGGACCAAATAGGCAAACCAAACACACTAACTATTCAATACAAGATAGTTTAAGCACAGCAGTAATAAATTAAGGCCTCCTCAATTTGCAAAATCTAATAAGAGCGAAAAATACTAATACCAAGTGGAAGTAAAGCTACCAATGAAATAACAAGAAAGCAAAAGTAACACACAACACCAATTTACGTGGAAAAATCTCTTCGGTATGAAGGAGTAAAAACCACGAGACCAAAAAGTTTATCATATCCACTAATCACCAAATAAGAGTATGAGTACACTAGTCTAACAATACAACAAGGATATCTAGTCCTCACCCAAGTTAAACCAAGCTACAAAGGCACTAGAATATTAATACAAGATCAAAAGATCAACTAAACATCCACAAAACTAGTAACAACTTCTAAAGTACAATACTCATAATCTATCCGATGAACACCAAAACCCTTTGGTAAAAATGAAGATTCATGAGTCTAGTAACTCCAGTTCAAATTTCAGGTCCAACGGACAACAATTGCCCCTCCAAACTTGAAGTTTTCAGACGTTGCTACAGTGGAACCCTTGCTGGAAATTTTCAGCTCCCTCTCTCACTTTTTGGTTTTGTTTCCCATAAATGCACACCTTTCTCATTTTGATTTTGGCTGCATTTTACTACCTCTTAGCGGACTCAAACCTTGGACTGATAACATAACACAAATTGGGCCAAACTTAAGTACTTGGGCTTTGACCCACATAGTTGGGAGGCCATCCTAAGAAAAAAAAGTTAGATGCTCAAATTAATATTCTCTTTGTCCCAGAAAAATAGTTCACATTGAGTTTTGAGATTTATATTATTTCGAATACAAATTATAAAATTCAATCAGAATTATTTTTTTGAACAGATGGAGTTGTTAAAACCCTGCCGGTCAAGGAATTTGATATTTCTTCAAAAAATATTAGTGATACTTCATATTCCCTCAGTCCCAAAATAAATGTCCACTTTGAGAATTTGAAATTTTATTTTAGTACTAATGAAAATTAAAAATAGATAATCAATTTGAAAAGAGGAAATATATGGGGAGACCTTGAGGGATTTTTCATGTTCTCCATTGCAGTTAAGACCGTGCCTTTAAAATGCTTTTATAAATTTGGAAAGTAAAACGAGGAGAGTCAATAAAGAAATTTTAATAAACTCGGAGGGGAAAGTTTTAAAAATGAATGAGTTTGATCATTTCTTTTTATTTTTTTTTGTCTATCTTTTTTTTTTTATATAGTATCATTTGTTAATATAATCTGTAAAATAATTATTTAGTTTAAATTTTTACTTTTTACGTTTTAATTTAAATTGAACAATTTTTTCGGAATAGAAAATCTTACACTCAATGTTACGGATACCAAATTAACTCAAAACTCCTTGGTTTACTCAAATGACCACTGACGAGCAAACCACCACTTGATTACCACCGCTTCTCGCTTCAAAGCTCTTAAGTCTTTAATAACGAAATAAAGGCTACGTATGTATTTTTTTTTATATATATTTGTTTTAGAAGTGCAGTGATGATTGCTACTAGTAATTGTGTGTGGGGTTCTTTTTTATCTCCTTAATTCTGTCGGGATGCCAGATTTGTTACTTGTTATGATGCATATATATATATATGTATATATATTCATAAGCTCCCTTATAATGGATTTTTCAAACTTTGTTTCAGCTCGTAGTAAAATTAGAAAATTTATTTGTTGAATTGAAACCAAACAATACTACGTATCTACTTTGGACGGTAGAAGACTAGGAGTAATGATGGTATTCATGGTTTGGGGTTGATTTTCTTGAATGATTTTAGTTGTTATACTTTTTAATTAATTAATTTTTGATAAAGGGGTTGACTTGCTTCTGCCGCCAAAAGAAAAGAAGAAGAAGAAGAAAGAACTCAAGAAGTAGTAGTAGAAAAGAATACTACATCCTCAAATTGACAAGTGGAACAGTGCCTCGTACGGTATGAATATGACTCGCTAGTGTGATAATGTTACCCTTGACTCTGGATCCAATACCTAATATATTCCCTTTAACTTACTATATAACTTTTTTATATCGTGTCAAAATTTGGGTAGAGCAAAAGTTTTGATGCAATTCCACACCACCATCAAGACACCAACCACTTATTGCAATATTCGATATCTCTTCATTACTTCGTCTGTCCAAAAAGGGAAAAAAATAAAATAAAATACGTAATTTACTTTACAACAATTAATATCGCTACAAGCAACATAACTTGTATTATTAAAATATCAACCGTGTAAATTATAAATTTATATTCCTTCTGTTTTATAAAAATAATACATATTGAGTTTCAAATTTGTATTAAAAATAGTACAAAACTCAAAATTTAATGTGAAATATTTTTTTGGGAAGTAAGGAGTATCACAAACTTTGGTGTCTTGAATGTTGGGAGGGGAAAACAAAACCAAACCGAGACGTCTGAAGTCTTAAACTACAAAAATAATTCATTGTCCTCACACGTGAAAGAGGATGCATTTATAACGATTTGATTTTCAATTAAGTTTGATTGGGAATAGGAAGACTGCAAATAAAGTCAAAAGACAACAACAGAGTAAGTAGAAAAATCGGTGTGTATATATATATATATATTTTTTCTATAGCATATATAAATGAAAAAAAGAAATGAGGAAGTAGAAAATTCTAGTGGTACAAAATGGAAAACAAAGACAGAAGTGGGCCATGACCAAGATGTGTAAGTAGTGGGTGAGAATGAATCCATAGGAATTCCAGCAGCCCCACTGGAGGGGGCCCAATTGGCTTTTGATTCTGTGGCCATGGACTGCCTGACTTGACACGACACTTTCTTCTTCCTTCTTTTCTTTCTTCTCTCCCTCAGTACTCCACTACTTACTAATAATCAAAATCAATTTAATACTATTATTATTATTATTACGTATGTTTTACTACTATTTAGTTTTCTTTCCGAACTATTGGTTCTTCTGTTCTGTTCACTCTCATCTGTCTCTAACAACAGACATAAATAATATTTTGTTTTTGGTCCTCTCCCTTTCTTTTGTTTTGTTTTGGGATTTCTGGTTTGGTTCATCACAGAATTCATTCATTACTCCATTTGTCCCATCATTCATCGTCCTATAATCGATCATCATCAATTCATTGTTTCTTCTTTCCTCCACACTTCCCAGCCCCATATCTCTCTCTCCCCTCTTTCACACTTCACACCATTAATATCAAACCCACCCAACAAAAAAAAAAATTATCGACCCCTTTTCAAGTTTCAAGTGTTTGTTGTTGATATTGGATTTTCCATTTGGTTTGGTGGGTTTTGTGTGACTTTTTTTTTTTCTTTTTTTCTCTTTTTGTCTCAGTCTGTCTACTATAAACTTCTTTCAAGATTTTTATGTTTTTGGTTTCGTGGGAGTTTTCTGGGTAAAAGTTCAATTTTTGAAGTCTCCCATGTTGGACATTACTGCCATTACTGTCGACCGATCGGGGAAGAAATGAAGGATGCGTACACTTTGTGATGTTTGTGAGAGTGCCGCTGCCATCCTTTTCTGCGCCGCTGATGAAGCTGCTCTTTGCCGCGCCTGTGATGATAAGGTCTAAAATCCTTGTTTTTAATTTCCCCCCTGCAAAAGAATGTAACTTTGTTAATTTCAAGTGTAAAGTGAAGTGACTTCTGCTGTTATATGATCTCAAATGATTTTATGGGTCAGCTGTTTGTGTAGATGAATGCTGGATCATTAGCTGCACCGATTCTGCATGTACATAGTTGTTTTATTGTATTCTCTTTCGAGTTAGTATCTGAAGCTGATTTATGGTACATTAAACGCTCATATCCTTGACATTATTAGGAAGAAACTGATTTTGGACTAACAGGAGGCTTCTTCAACAGGATTAGTTTGATTATCTTTAGACATTCAATGTTTGAAATAAAAAGTCACTCAGCTTGATAATGTTTAGAGCCAGGACTTTGACATGAATCTCGTCGAACAAGGTCTGCCCACTCTTTTTCTTGCCCATCATCAGTAAAGATTTGCAAATTGAGATTATTGGAGATGCTTGGATTGATTGTTGTTGAGCACTAATTGTACTCCTGAAGATGCCCTTTTTTTTTGTTGTGAGAAGAAAGCCAAACATGGATCATTTATGTTGTACAATATAAGGGCGCGCTTTTAGTTGCCTAACCTGGAAATGAACAGATCAGGGATTCAGGCACACAATAAAATGATGAAATCATTAGGAATTAAGAATCACATTAAGAATGCAGGCTCAAAAGGGCCTGGGTGCGTATATAACCTCAATAAATGGAAGGATGAGAATTTACAGGAGTTAACTATCTCTCTACTCTCTGTGTTCTTTCTTTGTGGTTCTGTATCTGGAAGAAACTAGATGCAAAGAAAAATGGTCTTAACCGGTCTTGCGCTGATGGCGTCAAAAGATGTAAATGGTTAAAGTTTACATGGTTGGGTCGCTAATGTTTATAGGTCTTCTTTGATGGACTAGGATGAATTCTTTTGTTTGATAGAAATTTATTTGCACATTCCCTTTCTCGTAATAGGTTACCATATCTTACAGTTAAAGTAACAAATCCTACCCGCCTCTGTCTTATGAGCCGTGAAATTGAAGACCTCAGTGGCTAGGTTTCATTATGTATAAACTAATGCTTGTAACTAGTTAGTTGGTTGAATGCTGTCATGATAATTATTGCATTTAATCTCCTTGTGTTTCTTTGTAGCTCTCTTTCTCTCTTCTGTATACTGCCAATCTTTTTCCAGATTTCATGTTTACTTAATTTTATTGAGAACTCACTCTCTGAGATAGTGTAATCTGGGGTGCAGGTTCACATGTGTAATAAGCTTGCTAGTAGGCATGTAAGGGTTGGGCTCGCTATACCGAGTGATGTTCCCCGATGTGATATTTGTGAAAACGCACCTGGTATGCTGACTCTTATGTTGGCATCATCCTTTGTTTTGGTCCTCATATTTCTGGTTTCTCCCTGAGACTAAACTCTATATTCTCCATTTGGATCACATGTCCAGCATTCTTTTACTGCGAAGTGGATGGAAGTTCTCTATGTTTGCAATGTGATATGGTAGTTCATGTTGGAGGAAAAAGAACCCATGGAAGATATCTCCTTTTGAGGCAGAGAGTAGAGGTTTGTAGCACTCTTTGCAAATAAATAGTCTTGACTTCTCATTGTGATGCTCTATTATTGGTAAGAAATTTAATCTGTTACTTTTGCGACAGTTCCCCGGGGACAAACCTTCGCGTGTGGAGGACCCTGCTACACTTCCTCCTGATGAAGTTAAAAACAAGCGGGAAAATAGTCAATCGCACAAACCAGTAACTGGAGATAACAAGCAAAATCACAAGGTCCCTTCTATCCCACTCTCAGATGGCAGTTCTGATGGGCAAGCCAAGATGGAAAACGAAATGATAGATTTAAACATGCAGCCTAGTCGGCTGGATGGCCAAGCATCCAATTTCCAGGTCTGAATTTGCTGCATAAATGATCTGTTTCTTGGCATATTGAACTTAAAATATGACCAATGATATTGTATACTTTATACGTTTGGCTGCTGTTTTAATGTTTATTTTGGCTTGAAAAACTATCCTTGTTCAGAGTATTTAGGATATTGAAACTATGGAACATCACTCAATGGCTAATTGCCTAATTGTACTGCTGAGAAGTAAACTTTTCTTTAGTGTTTACTTTTAATCTCGCCCTTACTGTGACAGGAATTGTAGTTGAAGAGGCTCTTTTTCTGCTGTGGACAAGATGGATTCGAAGTGAGTGCCAAATGAAGAACTAAACACCCATGCAGTAGCTTCTACTTGCACTTGGCCTTTAACTATCTCCATTAGTTTCTTTTAGGGTCAATCCCTTTTCCACCTTCTTTTTCCCTCTTTTTCTTGGGAGTATTCTCATTGTCTCCCAAGTTTTATGTTAAGTTTGCAACGCCGCAAAGGAAGCAGATCTAGTTGGCTAGTAACATCTTGTAGGGTAGATTAGTGACTAAGAAGGCAAAAGCTTGTCATGAACTGAAGTTGGTAGTGTTTTGTTTTTACTTCATGTTGTGGTGTCTTCTTGATCTTACCGTCGTTATGCTGGAACGACTGCGTCTGTATTGAGTTCCGGAATTCTTATGTTGCTCATAGAATGTGTAAAGTTGGAGAACGAACCGAAGGCAAAGTTACTCGATTAGGTTCTTGGCTAAGAGAATTGAAACTGTCTCAATTTCTGTGGCCATTTCGTTAATTTGTCTAGTGTTTCCAAAAACAAAAGATTGGTATTTATATACATGATAACTCAATATCAATAAATAACAAGAATGAATGTAATTTAAAGGTAATTTTGGATGATTTCCTCAACAGCTAATTTGAACTATATCTATGTATAAGTATCGAAAATAGTACAAATTTCAAGGTCTAACATTTTTATTATTTTTTTTTTTTGACACAGGGAGTATATTTTAATGATTGAAACCTAATTGTGATTTTTTTGAAATATCTTATCTAGAAATAACAATTGGAATCTTATGAATTTGTATATTCTAATTTTAATCCATAAAAAGATTTACCATCACATATTCGTTTGCTTTAAACCATCGGTTATCTGTGAAACTGTTATGCGCAGTACAGTAAGTTGTCTAATTAACATTTCTCAAGTCGTGTCAATTTCAACACACTCGAAATTAGTACGATATATTCTACTCAATTTGATCATCTACCTTTAACATTCGACTAAAAGTTGGTGCAAATTGAAAAATTTAAAATTTTTAATATGAATCTATCTACTAATGAACTATTGGCAATTTCTTACGATATCTCACTGTTAAATAGGTTGATTTATGTATCAAATTAACCGGTTTTCTAATATATTTTTTGAGTCGAAATTTTGAGTGTCGGTTTTGACGTAAAAAATCGACTCACTAAAATTTTCCACATTTTAATTTAAGTTGATACGTTTTTCTGGTAAAAGGATACTATCTTTTTTGTAATATGTCACTGCTTGATTTTTTTGTCATTATCAAATTAATACATCGATTGATGTTGCAATTTTCCTTTTTGGTTAAAATTGTAGGGGTCAACTTGTTCATCTACTTAGCCAAGTCGGCGCATTGGAAATTTCAATATTTATTTTGAAGATTAAAAAAGAATTGTAATTATTTCGAAAATGTCCGGTTACTAAATAAAAACACGACCAATTATGGATATAGTAAACAAATTTAATGGATTTCATTTAAATCAATAAGATTTTTGTTTTCATTTTATACGAGCACATCGATAAGGAAAAACAAAATTGTTATCTAAAGTCACGTTAATTCTAAAACTTTATAAATGATAAATTGGAAAGATACTAATGTCTTAGTCAAATGACGGAAATTGTTAATTGAAAGTTACATACAAGGAAGAGATTAGTCAGAGCGTGATACTTCGGGGTGACATTAGGAACTATCGAAATATTTTCGAGACAAATTTGGAGTTGGTGCCGAAGTCTAGGACTAAATCAACCATATTCTATTCTTCTCGTTTTGGGGTGATTCTACCATAGTAAATTTCAAAAGGGGTTTGGAAGCAATTTCAGCGAAGTTCGAGACACGGGGGGAACTGAAGATCAAAGGTGGATGGTTGGTCGTTTGTCGCAAAGAAAAGATTTTATTGATGTCTTTATTTGGTGTGGACTCAGCTGGGGGAATCTGGGATTTCTAGCATTATATAAGCATTACGAATTTGCAAACGTTAGCAAAATCGAAACAAAGCCATCCATCATCGATTTTCAATGGAGAAGATCTTCTTCAGTTCAAGTCCCTCTGTTTTTGGGACCTTGTTCTTGTTCCTGTTCTGGACGATAACTATTGTCGATGCCTCCTTTCTCTCGACGCGTCTCCTTGACCGGATGATGACGAATTCGGAGTTTAACAGCAGCAAAAAGTATTTGACCCAGGAAGCCCTCTGGTTCAACCAGACTCTTGATCATTTCTCCCCTTATGTAAGATTCTTCAGTCTTTTCTTATTTTCTTAAATCTAGACAAACTGTATCTGTAAGTAGTTTAATTGTTCGGGACTTATGTTCATTTTATTAGGATCACCGTCAATTCAGACAGCGTTACTATGAACTTCTTGAACACTTTCGGGCTCCTGATGGGCCCATATTCCTGAAAATTTGTGGTGAGTCTGAATGCCCGGGGATTTCTAATGACTATCTGGCTGTAAGTTTGTGAAGTTTCTTTCAAAGTTAGAATTTTTATTTTTTGGTAAGAATATTTTCTTACACAATTCAGTATGTTTATAGGTTATAGCAAGAAAGTTTGGAGCTGCTATCGTTACTTTAGAGCATCGTTACTATGGCAAGAGTTCCCCCTTCAAGTCTTTGACGACTGAGAATCTCAGCTTTCTTTCTTCAAAACAAGCCCTTTCTGATTTGGCGGCTTTCCGTCAATATTACCAGGTAATTTGCTGGTCATGTGTGTTCTTTACTCACTTCCTCTTTTGCTGATTGTTCTTGAAGTTGCACCTTGTTGGTAGGATTAGTTATGCTGAATTATGCGTAGCAGGAATAAGTAAATTACAACGATTTGAAGTTTGAAATGTCAATCATTAAACAAATATACCTTGATTCAACTAAACATTTAAATTTTCATGTTTTTGTTTTTTACTTCATTAACTGAATACTTGTTGGTTGTAATTCAATACAGGAAACATTAAGTGCTAAATTCAACAGAACTGCTGTCGAGAATCCATGGTTTGTATTTGGCGTTTCCTATTCAGGAGCTCTTAGTGCCTGGTTTCGCCTGAAGTTTCCTCATTTGACATGTGGGAGCCTTGCAAGTTCTGGTGTTGTTCTTGCTGTTTATAACTTCACTGAATTTGATCAGCAGGTAAAATTTATGTTGTTGTTTTCTATGAGCACCACCAACTGACAATGTCTTTCTTGAGGGGAGGCATTCGGTTGGGTTGGATATTTATTTCTTTACACACTGAGGTTCTTTTGTAAGTGTTGTGCTACTTTAGGTATGCAGTGGTCATATTTTCTCAGTATATATTTGTGCCCGTTTCTGATGCAGATTGGTGAATCTGCTGGCCCAGAATGTAAATCTGTGCTGCAAGAAATTACTCAACTTGTTGACGAAAGGCTCGCAACAGATGCAAAAGGTGTAAAATCATTGTTTGGTGCTGAAGAGGTATGGAATTGTCTTCCATTCCCAAACCCAGGTGGTTACAAGTTTAATTTATGTAATTTCTGCTGCTTTTATCTGAGGGTTACTTGTGCACCTGTTTAACTTATGGATAAAGTAAAATGCATTAACAGCTAAATTGACTTGAATGGTAGCATACTGTGGGTAAATGTTACTAGCTCTTCTTGATTTTTTTCCCCTTTTGGAGAGTGTTGATGTTAAATTTCTGAGGTTGAGTTTTAGTTATTCACCAAATTGTAAATTACCTGAAGCCTTATTCTCTTGCAGTTAAAAATCGATGGAGATTTTCTGTATTTTCTAGCAGATGCTGCAGTTACAGCGGTAGGTGAAAGTCCAATTTATGCATTTTTTAGAATGTATCACTTCAAGGTATTGATTCTCAAGCTTTCCCTTCTTCAGTTTCAATATGGAAACCCGGACAAATTGTGCATCCCTCTAGTTCAAGCAAAAAAGGCTGGAAAGGATGTTGTGGTAAGCCAATTGTGTTGTACTCCTTGTGTTCCTATATTTTATGTTATTGTATATCTTTCAATTTTTTTCCTCCGGGTTTTTTGTTTGTTTAATCCTTTGGTGTTATAATGCATGAGAGATGTTTTGGATTATTTTCTGTATGAAAGATTATACATGATTTCGTTGAATTTTTACTATTTATTTCTTTTCGTAACTCTACTACAATTCTATTTCTTGCTTCCATTGTCAGCAGCATTCCTGAGTTATTGAAACATTTTTGTAAATTTCAACCTAAAATATCATATAGATTATTCCCTCAACAAATATCTATATGGTGAGGTATCATGTGGCATCATAACCATAATTTTTTTAACTTTACAGAAAATGCTTTGAGTAGAGCAGACTTCTTATTTTTATGTATGGTTTCATGGACGTTGCAGGATGCATATGCCACCTATGTGAAAGAGAATTATAATTACGTTGAATCGTACAACCAGAAACGTCTAAAAGATACTTCTTTGAAGGGCGATACTGATGCTCGCTTATGGTGGTTCCAAGTCTGCACTGAAGTGGCATATTTTCAGGTGGCCCCATCAAATGATAGTGTTAGATCTCCAAAGGTTGACACAAGGCATGCCTCTACTCAGTATCTTCAGATCTTTTCATTTGTTTCATGGTCATAGTCTATAATCAGTACACATCTGTTGTTAATATCTGTCATCTGTCATGTAAATTTTTAGTTTTTATCATTGGCAGATACCATTTGGATCTATGTAAAAACGTGTTTGGAGATGGTGTCTACCCTGATGTTGATGCAACAAACTTATACTATGGGGGCACGGATATTGCTGGTAATTACAAAGCACTCATTAGGACTTGAACTTGATTGTTTGAAGACTCGTGATTACCTATATTAATTCTATGTGCCTCTTGTATTGAGAATCTTCTTGGTGCACCTGTTTCTTAGGGCTTTCAAAAGAGGTACTGTTAATGTAGTATTACGTGCTTCTGGATAATTCGCAGGGTCAAAAATAGTCTTTACTAATGGATCACAGGATCCTTGGCGGCATGCATCCAAGCAAACTTCTTCTCCAGAGAGTGAGTCCTAGATTTATGAATTGATTTGGTATTGTTTTGAAGACTTTCATCTGCTCATAATTTTGGAGGGCAACTGGTGTAAACTACCTGTGTACTTTTTTCTAGAATTTCTTAAACTTTCATTTCATAACTGGCTACTGATGTGTTGATACTATGTAACTGATGCAACTGTCTCATCTCTCAGTGCCTGCATACATTATCACTTGTCATAATTGTGGACATGGCACTGATCTTCGGGGATGTCCCCAGTCCCCTTTATCCCCTGAAGGTATTTATTTATCTCCCTGTCTGAATGGTTCGCGAGGCCACCAGAATCTTTACCTTTTTTTTTTTTTTTTTGCGGGGGTTGAAAATCTCAAGGTTTCAGCATTTTTTGTGTTTCAGGGAATGCCAGCAATTGTACCTCCCCTGATGCAGTTCACAAGGTCAGGCAAAAGATCATATACAATATAGATTTGTGGCTATCCCAGTGCCAGTCTTCAGGTAGGAGTTCAATGTGATCAACCACTATGAATGGCCCGAAGGAAAAAATTGCTGCAATCTCACATGTCTAACCATTTAACCTCTTTACCATTGTCAACAGATGTTATATAATTTGCCTGCCCATCAACCATGATAAGGGGATTTTTTTTTTTTTTTTTGAGTGAAGCCTTTAGATTTTCTTTAGGAAATCGGCTTCTTGTACCTTCCACTTGTATGAAGCAACAGAGCAATAAATGATTGAATATTCAGACTGATTTCCAACTGACAGCTTCTCTGTTCTAGTTTGTGGTTGAATTAATTGGCACAAGTATTCAAATATAATGCTGGAATCGGCTAACGAAACTGGAGATTCATCTCATCATTCTAGTGTACTCCTCTCAGTTGAAGAGGAAAATGAAAGATAATCCTGTAAAACTATTCCGGGTTGAGCAGCATTTAACTCTAATACGCGTGCACATATTCAGAAAGTGTTTTTGAGGTTTTGATTGTCACGAGAATATGTAGAAAATAACGATCAGGATGCGTTCTATTCAATTAACTGGTTCTAATAGAAAGGAGCACGCACATTCTTCTTTAGTGTGAAGTACAAAATGTTGAGCGGATAACAGTGTTACAGGGGCTATAGGCTATTAAAAGCGTTTTGATGATGATGCATCAGGAGCTTCAACATGAAAGTTTGTTTCTAAGAAGAGCTTAGTAAACGTAGCCTTTAACAAACATTCCTTGTTTGGCCTCCTCGGATTCTCCCTCGCCGGTGTATTTACCTAGCTGAGCAAGAGAATTGGCCTTAGCCCGGATAAGCAATGCTTCCTGAGCCGCCTGAACGTTTTCAGGTCTTCCTCCCCATGTCTTGAGGCATGTGTTTTGGAGGGCTCTGGCATATGAGAAAGACACATGCCATGGGTTGGGAGATTGGTTCATTGCATTCAAGTTAAGAGTGGCCTCGACTTCAGATTGCCCGCCTGACAAGAACTGCTCACCACAAGAAGAGAATACCAAACATGTCAAGGGATTAACTTGCTCATGGTTCAGAAAGAAAGCTTAATAAGGATTAAAGACAGATGTCATGGTAAATGAACTTGCCATGATTCCGGGGACTGCAGGGGGGATTCTCCGGTGAAGAAGCTTAAGGGTGTAGGAAGCAACTTGCTCTGGTGTAGCCCTCTCTTTGCACTCAGCTCCAGGAGTAACCATGCTAGGCTTTAAAAGAATACCCTCGAACAACACATTGTTCTCAGCAAGGTAGAAGAAAACCTCAGCCCAAACCTTTTGAGCAACTTCGAAGGTTCTGTCAATACCATGCTCACCATCAAGCAAAATCTCGGGCTCCACAATTGGAACCAAACCATTGTCCTACAATTTTTAAACCAGTATTTATGGTTATTTTTGTGTTTGATCAAAAGCAGTTAGCATTTCTTAGTGGTGACTTAGTGCTACAGAATTAACAAATTACCTGAGAGATGGCAGCATAGCGAGCGAGACCCCATGCTGCTTCTTTGACTGCAAGTGCTGATGGACCATTGGGAATGCTCACCACGGTACGCCTGCGTAATTACATAAGAATGAAATGAGTCAACGATGGATCAGAACAACAAGGACAAAACAAAGTTGATGATACAAGGATCAAACTGCAGCATACCATTTGGCGAAACGAGCACCCTGTTGATAGTATGCAGCAGAACGGGAGGCAAGGCCATCTAGACCTTGGCACCAGGATTCATCGTTTGAACCAGCAAGAGGAACTAGACCCTACAACACCCACCAATCAACTCTATCAGTGACATTTAAAGGAAATGAAATGGCATAAACTTGCTGGATTAGTCACCTGGAATCGTCAGATCAAGGAAAGAGCATGATTTTACCTTGTCCACCTTAATTCCTGGAACGATGTTCTGTTCTTGGAGTACATCAATTATCTTCTTTCCATCTACGGTGGATTGGTAGAGTGTTTCCTCAAAGAGAATGGCACCGGAGATGTAGTTACCGAGTCCAGGAGCTGAAACAAGCAGGGTACGGTAGGCTTGGCGATTCGCCTCCGTGTTCTCCAGGCCAATAGAGGCCAGACGCTTGCCACAGGTGGCATTTGATTCATCCATGGCCAAAATCCCACGGCCAGGAGATGCAACAGTTTTCTGAAACCATGAATTTGAAGTTCCATGTTCAGAGAAAAGAAACTTCGGGTTGAAAAGAAACTTCGGGTTAAAATTTAAGACAGAGCTTTCAGCACTGCTAAATTTACTATCAGATGAGACCACGCGGTGATGCTTTCAATCTGTGTCAACTTCAGTACTAAAACTAACAGTAAATTCAGAGAGAACCAAAACATTGCTCCCTTTTTGTTATTCGTTCACTTCTACTACTTCACATTAACACATGAATCTTATTCTTGGTTGTCCCTAGTGAGGGAACCACTAACCAGACATACTACAAACTTAAACAGGCAACGGGTTATATTCTTCAAAAGACTAGATATTGATGCATGTTACGATGAATTGAAAACCTATCTCAGCACTTTATTAGATCAAACAGTCAGAGAACATAGCCGGAAAATGATAATCGTACCGCGGTTTTGACGAGTTCATCAGCATACGAGCTTGCACGAACAGTGAGTGAAGAAGGTGAACCAGCAGGTTGGCACTTAACAACAGAAACAGTAGAATGCTGGCGAACTAGGGCCTGACCCTTCAAGAACTCCGACTTATCAAGCACCGGTGAAGTCTTTAGGAGAGCTGCTGAGGCTGCCATTTTTCTGTATCTTCAGACTCTACTCTTATTCAGTATAATACACTCTATTCTTTTTTCTGCAACTCTCCCCCAAGTTCCTATGGGCTATAACAACTTTAAAACATGGGTACACATTCTTATGATCCATCAGTTTATATAGTTCAAGGGAGATATATGTTTTGAGGCCAGAATATGTTCACCAATCATCTAGTGCCAGGTGGGATAAGATCTTGCTAAATTGATGGTTTGGTTTTTTCTATATTTTTCTTCTTTTTATTTCCTGCCTTGGTTTTTTTTAGAGCACCAAATTAGAAATAGCAAGACCAGAAATAATTGTGCAATGATACATGACAAGAAAGCATGGCTTTGAAAAGCTTGATTTTAAGCCTTTAAAATCAGGGTCCCATCTGCTTGACTCAAAATTGACTCTCATTCTCAGACTCTGAAAGCTGCAAGGCTGCTAAACTAGCTCGCTCATTTTGTTAATTTTCTACAGTAAGCCCCGAAAGAAAAAGAGTAACAGAGATTGGGGAAAAAATAAATTCTTCAAAACTGCAGCACTATTTCTAAACAAACGAAATGGTTTTTTTTTTTTTTTTAAATAAATAAAAATCTTTTCTAAGGGAAAAAGGGTTCTATCAATAAACTGAACTTTGATTCTAGTAACAGTGAGGAGTTGGCTAAGCGGCCAAGACTGTAACATCTGGCAGGACCCTCATAAAAATCTCAGCGAAATGGCAAAGTTTGTAGTCATTTTTATGCCTTTCGCATCGTTTGTCATTTGAAGAATGGCAATGAAGGTGACATCCCTACAATTGCAACCAGAACATTGTTCACGGTCCACCAAGATCGAAAAGATTCTCCATTTCCATGATGTTCCTCTCATGGTAGAGTAACTGAGTGACACATTATGTGTTTCTGTATGTTTATGTACTCCAGCTGATTAATGAACATAGACAGAGGTATATGATTATAACCAACAACATTCATGATGCCCAGAAATCACTGTGCTAACTCATTCGATATGATACCAGTTAAGTAAATTAGAAATGTAACGACTCTGTCAGACAAAGAGGAATGAGTTCTTAAACCTTAGGAACAACAAATTCAGTAAATATCATTTGTATATATGTAAAACTGTGTTGTGAAAGCATCAAAATAATGACTAAGAACCACATCGAAGAAAAACTCAGATGCTTTCCATGGACAAAATTTGGTACCAAATGTACAGATTGGTACTACCTAAGGTAAGTAGAAGAAATCCACAGGAACACATAGGTAATCAATGAAGTCGACACTTCCAAACTCCTAAGTCCTTTGATTAGAGGTGGGATCACAGACACCATGAGGAATGTGCCAACAAGCCAGGACAGAATGAAAGTTCCAGCCCTGCAATAGCGAGCAATGACACACTTTAACAATCAATAGAACAAACTGGAGAGTTGCTCATCGGTGAGAGGGTCAGTCTATCCCAAATAATCAAAGTGCTATCTAAAGGCAATTTTGTTTACACAGAATTCATGGAAGATAAAGTGATAACAAACCCGTAGAGGAATGCTCGTAGTTTGTCCTTTAGCCGGTCATTGATGAAGTACATAGTCATGATCAGAGAAATAGCAACCTGAAGGGTTGGACCTTCTTCAGTAGGAAAGAGCAGTGTAAGTGCTCCGAGAATTACAAAAGCAATGGAAGTTTTGATGATGACATTCGTCTGAGGAGTACGGAACCTGCTAGTGACAGCCTGCACATACTTATGCTGAGTTACCTCCCTGACCTTTTTCTTAATGTTAATCTTTGGGTTCTTCCTTTCATAGAACTTTTGCATTATTATTTTATCATGGGCTGATTCAATAGCATCAACACTTGGCTTATGTCCTGCATATCTCTGTATTAGGAAGTTCCTGGCATCTTGAATTTCATCTTCATTAGCTTCCCTACTGATTCCAAGTCTTTTGTACGGATCCTTGACATTGATTCTGGGAAAGATAGCTGCAATTGCAAACTAAAAGTTTCAGAAAACAAACTAATGCTTCTCAACAGATGCAACAGGATGCAAAGATTCAAGAAGCACCATAGATGAGGAAAAATGATTTAAGGACCTTACAAAAAGTAGCAAACACGACAAAATATTCTAATATGGAGGTTTAAGTTGATGTAATTCATAACACATTTGTAAGGAACCAGACCCTGAGAGTAACCTCTGGCAATAAATACATCAAATCATACAATATGTTAAAGTTAGAGATACAGCATTCTAGCCAACACCTAAAGAATGGGGGTTCACGCTGATGAAGAATGAGGACTAAATATTCTGTGTGATTTACAAGTGTATGGAAGGTGCTTCATCATAGATTAAGTAACACCAAACTGAAGACTGCTGAAACTGTTTAAGCTAGTGCAAAATGAAACAGGCAAATAAGCAGTATTTTCATTTTTTGAAAAACCTTCTTTGACGGACAGGATGAGCAGCCCAATAGTCAATGACTAAACAATTACTGGCTAGGTACAATGTCATGCACTAAAAGAAGCCTAGCAACTCCAGAAAGACATTAACTTGGATAAGAAATTAAATGGGAAGCAAAGAAACATTCTCCGAACAGTTAATATTACCACTGGGATCATTTCCAGAATCACCATAGGAAGCATCCATTGCACACTTCACCATAGGAGTCCGTTGTAGAGCACAACTCCGTGTGGAAGCAACCCATTTAATTCCAGTTCTGGTTAATGGACATAAAATAGTTGTGGTGCATGAGAAAAATAATCCATCTTACCAAGTTGTATACTAAAATGTAGTATTTAAGTACCTTAACTGGTGAGGCAACTCCAGCGTTCCACAAAAGCGAACAGAAACTGAAACTCGGGCGCTATGAGAGGGGAATTGTGCAGGGAGTTTAAGTTTATATCTAACGGAGCCACCAGTTAATCCAGATACTGTTGTCATTTAGATATGCCCGACACCTCTGAATCAAACAGCTACACTGTGTTCAATTTGAGAAAAATTAATCAAAAACCAACCCAAACAAGTTTTCAAAGTCAGAAGACCAAGAAGTCCAATTGACCAATGCTAGTTCACTGGAACAAATTAGTGGAAGTATCCTATTGAAAACGCAAAAGTATGAAAATTCTCAGAATCTGGGGATGCCCCGAATCCTACTGAACTTGCATTGAGGCATAACGCTCAATAAGCAGAATATGGCTTATGCCTTATCCTAAATTGAACTTTAAAAAAAGTCACTAGCTTGTAAAGGCAACTACTAAAAAAGCCACATTACCACAACAAGAACCAACTGGGAAACCTCAAATTCAAACTTTAATGATGCTCGAAGTCAAATAAGAGAAATATATACAGTCGTGCCAACCCATGAACAAAAAATGATTATGGTGAAAGGAAAAAAAGACATTAAAGAATAGAGAAGAACAGAGATAATCACCTGGCGATTAAACTTGGAGGGTCTGCGGCTACGTTCCTGGACGGTAAGATAAGAATAAGAATCTTCAAACTATATCATCGGAGAGTTGAGAGATTACAGAAAACAAAAGCTCAGCAGCAAAATCAGCGCGTATCGCAACCAGAGGGTTTTTGTTTCAATCTCGGAAACTCCGGATTTTGGGAGAAAAATAGTGTCGACTAAACCTCAGACAATAAATCCGTTGTAGTCTAGATGGTTAGGATATTCGGCTCTCACCCGAAAGACCCGGGTTCGAGTCCCGGCAACGGAAATTTTTTTCGCTTTTTGCATTTTCCAAAACTTTTCGGAGGAACACCCATATGAAAAATTCGTACTCCCACATCAGAGATTTCCTCTGACTGGATCGGAAACTTTGGGCGCCAAGTTCATCACCAGGTGATTGTCTCCGTTCTTCCCTATTCTCTTACTTCAGTTTTCCTTTCACCGTAATCAATTGCTTAATGGGTAGGCATGATTGTATCATTTCTGTTATTCTGCCTTCCAGTGGCATCATAGAGTTGGAATTTTGAGGTTTCCTTTCTGGAAATGCGGGTTTTTAGTTTCCTTAACAAGATAGTTTCTTTTTGAAGTTCAATTTCGGACAAGGTATAAGCCATATTCTGTTTATAATAGGTAGAATGTCATGTCCCAATGCAAGTTTGGATTCGGGGGATCCCCAGATTGTGAGAATTCTAGAACTTTTTACATGTTTTATGGATGCTTCCATTAAGTAGATTTGGGATTTCTAGTGAACCTTACATTCTTTGCTTAGCTGGACGTTCTTGGTCTTGTTACCTCTCTCGAAACTTTCGGTTGGTGTTTGATTAACTTTTTCCGAACTGAACACGGTATAGCTGTTGTTCAAGAGCTATCAGGCATATATCTGAATGACAACGGCATCTGGATTTCACTGGTCCATTACATTCAAAACTAAGCTCCCTGCACAATTTCCGTCTCATCTCATGGCACACGAGTTTCAGTTTCTGCTCCCAGTTAATGCCTTTTCTGGAGTTGCTAGACTTCTTTTATAAGTGCATGATGTTGTACCCTGGCCAGTATTCTTTACTCATTTGATTACTGTCTTTGGTTGGGCTTATCCGTCACTGAAGTTTGTTAAAAAAAAATGAAAATGCTGCTAATTTGCTCTTCATTTCTCACAAGTTTAAACAGTTTCAACAATCTCTGCATGATGGTACTTCATCTATGATGAAGCACCTTCCATATACTTGTAAATTTAAGATGCCAGGAACTTCCTAATACAGAGATTTGCAGGACATAAGCCAAGTGTTGATTCTATTGAATCAGCACATGATAAAAAATAGCCGTACAAAAAGGAAGAATCGAAAGATCAGGGAGGTAACTCCGCACAAGTATGAAGGTTCTGTACTCCTCAGAAGACGAATGTTGTCATCAAAACTTGGATAGCTTGCATAACTCTTGTAGCGTTTAGACTCCTCTTTCCTACTGAACAAGGCCCAACCCTTCAGGTTGCTATTTCTGTGATCTTGACCAAATGTACTTCATCTTGCATTCAAATATCTTCCCATCTATATTTATCTCGCATTCCCTTGATACACCTTATTTGCAATTAATTGTACTCAGCAACTAGTTGATTTGAATAGTATTTTTATTTTCTTTCCGGCATAACCAAGGGTTTTGATGTTCACTAACTAGGCTAAGTACTTCGAATCAAAATTTCTGTTTCCAAGGGACGCCCGAGATGTAAAGTTTGTCCTTGAAAAATGCTCAGAAATAAACCACCTCATGGAAAATCTGAATGACACTCTCAAGGATGCTGATCAATCTGCAGATGGCGAGCATAGGGTATGAATTCAAATACATTCCTACTCTAATTATTTTGGATGTTATCAATTTTTCCCTTCAATTGAGTTTATCTCTTTGAGCCGCCAATTCCTCGAGTATTCTTAGACTAAACGGTTCTTGAGAAGATTCTAATACCATACCCGGGCATTCTAAGACTAAACGGTATTCAGGATTGAAACGGTTGTGAAATTTAACCCCTTTTTCGGTTCGAATTAGGGTTGTTCATGTTATTCCGAAGAATACGCTTCCTGCTACGTACGTCACAACCCTTTACTCAACATGTCTGCTCTTTGTTCCACTTTTCTATAGGGGTTTGTTAGTTTTGATCTTATCTCAGTAAATTTTTCTGGTTCATCCCTTAATAATGTCACCGTTCGGAGCTGTTGATTCTAAGTTCCTTTAATTTGAATGCCTTTCACTTTTTGATGTGAACTCATGTTATGATGGTGCAGATGCAACTCCATTTATCTTGGCTGCGGGATGAGATTATTAATAATATACTAAAGGCTGATGTAGAAGCAGTATGGGGCACATTTATGGCGGCTGGGAAAAAAGAAAAGTAGGATTTTCGAAGTATTTACGTTCTGGTGGGTCGTGTTCGTGTTGGGCTTGATTGATTATTGAGCTTTGTTTTGGGCTGTAAATGCTAGTGAAAATCTTGCAGAGAATAAAAGTAAAATGGCAGGTATCAAGTTTGTTAACCGGTTTGTAACTTTTGAAGAATGTGCAGGATCAAGTTTCCCTGATGTACCAAAACAAAAAAGATGCACATAATTTCCTATTTAATTTTGATGATTATTATTAATTTTAATAATTTTTAATAATTTTATGGTTATTTAAATATTTGGATGATGAACTAAAGAATAAATATTCATTTCAATACGACCAACTTATTTTTAGAGAAAAGGAAGATATAGGAATGAATGAGTTTATTTTTTTTAAGTTCTGTTTTTCTTTCTAATATCTATCTTCTATATCTGTCTATCCTTTAGCTTATTATTAAAACATAAATTAACTTTAGTTCTTAGAGTGAAAACTAAACAAAAATTTTCAATCTGTCAAACTCCCAAACCTCCTCAAAATAAATATTTAGTGTACTTAATATACTTATGAACAAGTCCTCTAATTCTTGTTAAAATTGGTAATCGATAGTATTTTTGGTAAAATAATATTTAGTATACTTATGTACAAGTCCTCTGATTTAAATTCAAAGTTGTAGATCACATATACTTTGAACAACCTGAATATTGAGCCATTTTTTTTTAAAAAAAAAAAAAACAGTGAATATTGAGCCTCAAATGGCAGTTGCCTTTCTTATGTTGTTCTTCCATTTTGAATGGGCCTTTCGTTACGATATAGACCAAAATTAACAACAGATATGTCTTGTTGGGCTTTGTTTTTTGTTTACCTTTTACTGGGGCTGGCAAGTGGTGGTAGGCTGCATTTCATGACCATTCTCCAATATTGTTAGTTATTATTTTTCATCTTACACCCATTTTTTCTTCTTTTGAGTGGAAGGGTCTCTCCCACCCTTAACTATGAGTCGAGGATTCAAATCTCGTCATGGGTATGGAGTAATCTTAAATACTTTGGCCAGTTGTTCCACCCATTAAAGTGCCTACAATTTAGCGAAGGCGATTAGTCACTGTTGCTGACGGTGAACACCCTGAAAATATGAAAAAAAAAAAAAAAAAATCTTACAGCCATTTTTCAGGTTTTCGTTCAATTGCCTTTTTCCAAATTATCATAGGAAGAAAAAAAATCTAAAGCCTGATACAACATTGCAGAGTTATGCAATCCGAAGACATCAGTATAAGTGTAATGCCAATTCCCCCTCCCTTAGGAATAATGCCAAGGTTTTTTTTTTTTTTTTTTTGAGGGTATAATGCCAAAGTTTTATATCGCAGGCGTCATATACTCTAGTCCCTAGTTAGTTTTGATTTGGTGTGCAGCAGAATAGAGTAACACTGAAGATGCTAAAGAGATTACAAGATAAACGTTTTTTGCTTCTGATAAAACTTTGGAGGATTTTGAGAACACAAAACCACCGGAACTTATTTATTAGAGTTTCCTGTATGCAAAGTCTAATGCGGAGATGCTGGAATTGAGGTGCAAGGATAAGAAGTCGTCTTTGTTTTTTGTCTTCCTCTCACACCCTTTGCTTTTGGTCCAACATCACTGATATAGAAATGTCGCCAATCACAACCCTAAATTCCCATAATTCCAAAACAGCATGACTGTCAGTATCACGGGATACACATACAACCCCCCCCAAACCTTTGCATTTTTCCTGTCAATAACCCAACCAACCTCTCCGCCTTCACACGTCCAAAAAAACAAGTAGTCAAAATCTTAATTACAAACGTGTTCCATTGTAAATAATTCCTTCGATTACGAACATTCACTGCACGATCTAGATTCAAATTTATCATTTACCCACTTAAGCTTTATAATTATGATGATTACGAACACTCTGGATATGGATATGGTATTGTGTAACTTCCTTGACTTTTTGCAATCTAGTGGTTTTTACCACCATCATGCGTTTTCCCAAAAACGTAACACTGTCTTTATCCTTTCTTTTAAAGACGTCACAAAGTCAGTAATACTTGCTGCAAATGTAACTTCCTTTTGTTGGAAGATTGTGACTGTAAATAATATATATGCTTGCATTGTTCTGGTCCACAAACATTCTTTCCCGGACCCAAGTGCCAAAAGACATTCTGCTAACCATCACCAAAGAATTCTCTGTTTATTGATCCAAGACTTGGTCAATCTTTTTGTGGCAAAACTATTATTTTTTCCATTAATCCCAGATAAAGCAATTAAAAGGTGTCTTCAAATGCAACACAAGTGATGCATTTCTGACAGCCATTGTACATTAACAAACGATTTTCGGATCTTAGTTTAGAATGTGAATGTGAAAGAATGAATATAATAAAGTGTGTGTGTGTGTGTGTGTGTGTGTGAGCCTCTTAATGGTTGTGTTTGCATAATCTTTTCTTTCACATCCTGTTAGTCCCGTAACAGACAAAAAAAAAAACAACACACAAGAAAGCATTCTTTGTCAGTCAGTCAATCAGTGATTCACAGGGAGAGAGGATATGGTAATTTGGTAAGGTGTAAGAACTAAAGAAGAAGATAATACAGTTCCATACCACCACATTTTCTTCTCCTCTCTCTGTTTCTTGCACAAACATCTTATCAACTGCTTGGAATTTTGGTTCTTTTTTCTCTTCAATTTGACGGGCTGGCTGATTACTTTATATTTGTGTTCTGCATCCTAACAATTCCCTCAAATAAGTTTCCCTTTCGCCAACTTTTCAGCTCCATTTCCTCTTGCACTTTATCCAACAGCAACCTAAACTTAGAATTCTTGAAAGATTTCAATAATGAGACTGGAACTGATAGTGCTAATTGTCTTGGTTAGTTTGGGAAGTTCGTTTGGCCGCCATTCCCATTCCCACTCCCACCACCACCATTCCTCCAATAAGTTGAAGGTTAATCAGGAAGCTTACTCAAAGTGGCTGCAATACATGGCGTCTCGCAATCATTCCATCTACGAGGAAGCCAAAAATCAACTGAATCCTTGCAAAAGGATTAAGGTGCACAAGAATCCTAAGCATGGTGATTATACTACAGTGCAACAGGCCATCAATGCAATCCCACTTATCAATAATTGTCGTGTGATTATCTCTATCAGTGCAGGAACCTACAAGTGAGTGTTCTTTCAAACTGGAATGCATGACAGTGTTGTTGACAATAATGTGGATGATTAATGACGATTTACTAGTTGAATTTTGGATTGTTTGAATATCGGAACACAGGGAGAAGATTGAAATTCCGGCGTACATGGCATATGTAAGCCTGGAAGGAGAAGGCGCAAACAGGACAGTGATCCAGTGGAACGACACCGCAGACAAGATAGGACCAAATGGGAAGCCATTAGGCACTTACGCCTCTGCAACATTTGCTGTCAATGCCCCCTATTTCATTGCCAAAAACATCACCTTTAAGGTCAGCCCAAATGCATAACTCAGAGCAATAATCGCAGTATGGGACAATTGATTGTTTATATTTACAAAAATGTACTACTTTCCCCTTTGCATTTGCCAAAAGTAATCATAATATAGTAGTAAAAACAGCTTTACTTATGATGAATGGTTCCATTTTATTTTTCTGACAGAATAAAGCGAAGCCGCCACCATCAGGAGCACTGGGTAAGCAAGCAGTGGCCTTAAGAATCTCAGCTGATACTGCAGCTTTCATAGGGTGCAAATTCATTGGAGCACAAGACACACTTTATGACCACAGAGGCAGGCATTACTTCAAGAACTGCTACATTCAAGGCTCTGTTGATTTCATATTTGGAGATGGGCTCTCATTGTATGAAAATTGCCATCTTCATGCTAAGACCAAAAACTATGGGGCATTGACAGCCCAGAAGAGGGAAAGCATGCTTGAAGAAACTGGCTTCTCTTTTGTTAATTGTAAGGTTACTGGTTCAGGGGCTCTCTATTTGGGGAGAGCCTGGGGTACTTTCTCTAGGGTGGTCTTTGCTTATACTTTCATGGACAAGATCATCACTCCAAGAGGATGGTACAACTGGGGAGATAAAAACAGAGAAATGTAAAATCCCTTTCTCTAGATCTCGCATTCTCACTTTTTTTTTTTCTGGTTTCATATTTTCCCCTTTGGACTAATAATGTGTAAAAAAAATCCCATGGTTACCACGTCATGCAGGACTGTATTTTATGCGCAGTTCAAGTGCTCAGGACCAGGGGCTAATTATGGAGGAAGGGTTTCATGGGCAAGGGAGCTAACTCAGCAAGAAGCCTTGCCTTTTATATCATTGAGCTTTATTGATGGCCATGAATGGCTTACGGGTTTGTGATAGTTTTCAGTATTTAACTGGGAATCCGCTCTGTTGATAACATTGAACCCAGATAGTGCTTGGCCTCCAATCATTATCTGATTGTAAGCTTTTCATTCATCCATTCGCTGTAAAGCTCTTATTGACTACGAATCCTTTGAAGATTCCATTGTGCAACAGTTAGAAGCCTCGATTTTTTGAGGAAAAAAGTCGTCTAAGCATAATAGCAAGTACCTGAAAATTGATAGTCAGATGTGTGAATTCCACTGGCGCCCCCTCACACGAGGAGAGGATTTTGAGTCTACTCGGCTGTTAAATTTTATAGAAGTGCTATCAAGAAGAACGATAATTCAGATCACACATGATTTAGTTAAAATCTTATTGGTCATCTAAGTAAAATTATCAATAAAACTTTTCGCCCCAAAACCCTTTCTCGTGTATATCCATTACTATCCCTTTCTCGTAATTAAATTCGTCTAATGTTCATTTGTTGAATAACACAAATTACACCTCATGGGTAGCAACAATCAAGTTTCGGATTTGTGGCGAAAAGTTGTTCAAATAAATCCTTCTTGTGTACGTCCCCCTTACGATGTGGCATTCTTTTATATCATTAAATTTGTCTCGTGTTTATTTGTTGGAGTTGCACAAATAACCTCTTAAAACAGCGCCTATGAAGCTAGATTCCCCAGCCCTGTAGCAGCCATCAATTTGTTATGACAAGGCAAGGAACTGGACCATTTCAATCTCACGGGATCACGGTGTCCATATTCTGGACGGCATAAGCAGGAGATGGAACTGCCTGCCAGGACACACTGATTGAAACATAAGGGCTTAACAGACTCCATTGCAGGCCATTCTGTAAGATCACTTGCCTCAGACCTTCTATTTAAACATTCTGCAATGGTGTTATGCTCTTCTTTGAGTAATCACACAGTTAGCAGATACGATAGTATTGAGATCGGCAACTATATACAAACACGAGATGCCTGATCCCGATAGGATCCATTTGGTGAAAGTTAATAAGTCTAACAACTTTCAGGGTGGGTGTTCCTATTAATTTCCCTAGTTTCCAAAAACAAAACAAAACAAACGCCAGAGTTGCTACTAATTTCTAGCTAATTGTAGCACCGTGTTTCTCAGCTATTAATGCAGCCTGGAGCAGGATGTCATGTCGAGCATAGCTAAACTCCACTTCACCCTAGAATTCAAGACAACTACATCAGTTTTTTGTTTCCAAAGAAGACAACACCATTCGCCTTAAAAGTGATAAGCATCAGTTTTTTCCCCCAAAGAAGACATTACAGGCCGCAACACCATCACCTTAAAAGAGATAATCAAAGGAAAAGGGAGGAAGAAACAAAATAACGTACCATATTTCTAAGACAACACCCTACAACCAGCTGTACTTGAGATTTTGCAGAACATCCTTAGGATCTAAATGACATGCTGGGGCTTTCCCGTCCAAAAAGGCATTGTCATTTGCTCTTAACCTTGTCTCTATCTCATTGATTATCTCAGGAATCACAGACATGTCAGTGATTTCGAGCAAGATTTTTGTCTCAAACACTCGGCATAGGGCTCGAGATTCAAAAACAGTAACCTAAAAAATTCAATGCAAGCATTCGGAAAAATTAGACAAATGGTGCTAAAAATTGCTACAAAACACTAGCTACAAGAGGGACACTAGTTGAACAAATCCCTATCAATATATATCATAGCTAAAGAGGGACACTAGTTGAACGAATCCCTATCAATATAACATTCAAACACATTCAAATCCTAGCTACATTGCCAAAGCTCAACTAACGAAAAGATTGCATGTATATCAGAATACAATCACACACCACATTTTCAATCATGCACTTGAAATTTTGGAGCAAACCCCATGTCACTACAAGCTCAAAATTTTAAATGAGGAATCTTAATCTTGAACAGAAAAATTTAGCGGAGAGAAAAAGACAGCGAGAAAAACAAAACCAAATTAGTTGACTATTTTTAATTATCATTGGCAGAAATGATTCGCGCATCCAAATGCAATCATATCTAATTTTAAAGGCAACTCATAATGCGATCTTTTTGAGAACCAGGCTGAAGGTTTTTCAAGATAATTTTTCAGTTTGAAGAAGATGCAATGTTTCTTTAGGCAAAACCATTAACCACACAAACAAAGAACTAGAAGAAACTTTTCGGTACAAAAAGCGAAAGAACTAAAACATACCTCACTGAAAACATGGAATTAAGAACTATAATGAACCCTTCGCTTCATAATAAATAAGTGGCAGTGATTCCTAATTCCACCACTTTGCCTTCAAAAGACCCTACCTACGAAGGGTTTGGACATTTGGGAGAAGATAGTTAATGAACAATCAATAACAAAATAGCCAAAATTCAGACCTGAAAATTTGTGTTAAAATAGGTATCTAACTTGAGCAGAACAATATGAAACCACACGAGGTAAACCAACAAGTAGATACCTTGATTAGTCTCTCCAACATGTAACGGATGTAGTATCAGCATCAATATTCCACCGAAGACATCTTCAAGGACGTTTGTAACAGGATTAAACGTAACAACTACAAGATCAACAGCATCAATGTCTTAGTTTCGCAATCACAATTTGTATTTTCTTTTACCATAATACTGTACTACAGACTTCCAACCTCATTTGAGAATTGACAAAGCTTCATCGAACATTCTCACCACCTTTCAGTTGAGAATGAAAACTATGTTTGGAATTGAACATCCAATTGTAAATACAAATTTGGACTCAATGACGAAACCATCTCATGAACGAGAAACAAATTTTAGATGCAATGTTTTAGTACTGATAATGGACACCTTTTCTCAATTACAGTAATCACTATTTGATATTCCCAATGCAAAACGTACACATAAAAAAACACCACCAAATGGAGACATAAACTACAGTAAACAAAACAGCAATCTTCATAGATAACACAAACCTGCTAGGCATATAATCAGATAGGAACCGAAAGATAAAGAGGTGACCAGAGTGGGGATAGATTCCCATGATATAAAGAGGTCAGAGAAATCTCCTGGAGGAACTTCGGTATAGCAGCACCCTCAACCATCATACAAACAAGAAGAACAGCTAAAGCAGCTAAATCCCTATAACGACAATAAACAGTGGGAACTCCCTGTGGCCAACAAGCCCAGATGAAGACGGCCTGATTCCGCTAAATGGGAACCTGCTCCGGAAGCCCAAAGTCGAACGATTACGCCCAATTGGGGCTGAGCTCCTCATTTTCTTCCCTTCTTCTTCTCTGAATTCTGCGGTGGCATCAAAATCACAAGTCATAAACAATCACTGAACAACGAACATAATTCAGAAACCCTAATTTTCAACTTAATTTCTGTACTTTGGGAGTAAGTGAAGAAAAACCATAGAAATTGAACAAAATATACTTGCTGACGTCTCACGATTGAATACGAACGGAAAGAAAACCGAGAGAAGAAAATGGGGAAAATTTGTCAACAAAACATGCAAATTGGGGGATTGAAAAGCAGAGCAAGTTGTATTACCAGATGGAGAGCAAAGTATCATATTTGGTCCACAATATTTGGAATTTGATTTATTGGATCTTTTATTTTTGGACTTTCTCTACTTTTGGTCTTTTGATTAACAGTTAACACAATCAAATATATGGATTCGGAAATTTTTTTATAAATACTCAAAACGTCTTTACAGATAGAAAAAACTCGAATTCAAGCAATCTGAGAAATGCAATGGGAGAAAGTGTTGAAAGACATCATATTTTTGCGATTATTATTATTATTTTTTATTTACTTTCTTTAAGGGTCGGAGAGCATTTTGAACTTTTATTGTTCAAGAAAGAATAAGCAAGATTGGCGATGATATCGGTCTAAATTAATAATAACCTTAAAGCTAGGCCGCTAGGTTGCTAACTCAACAAGAGGCCTTTCCGTTTATCACATTGAGCTGAGTTGATGACCACAGGATTGGCAATCCGTTCAATCGAGAACATTCAAAACAGATTATGGCAAAGTCATTTGTGTGAAAAAGCTTTTCTCGTAGTCTTGACTAAGAATCCTCTGATTCAAACACCCCCAATATGTTCAACTATTTGGAGGAAACACATTGCCCCAACATATTTGCAAATCCTTAAAAATGAGGATTCCATGCACAAAGATAAAAAGGCAACCAGTTTGATTGAGCCAATATTCCCAGAGTTATACAGAAACATACTGGCATGGTATAACTATTTACATTTCCAGACATATCAAGCAGGCAGAACTGCCGGATTTACAAATGGATTCATACTTGTCTGACATTATAAACTGTACAACATTTTCACAAATCATTTGTCACCAAGTAGCCAGCCGCGGCAGAGAATACTTAGAATGATCAGATTGCTACCTGCATTGAGCAATCAATCCACATTACTAACTAACGATTCAAAGACTAAAAACAAATCAAAATTGTGTCTTTTTGATTGTTGCATGCACAATCAACTGCTACACCTCGAATGAACTTTTTCACAAGTAGCATCGAGATATTTAAACAAAGCAGAAATGTCATCAAGCAAGTAGGGATGATGCAACAAACATACCAACATTGTAGGAGCACCATCTCAGAGGCTACCAATAAAAGTTTCACACCACAGGTATTGTCAGGATTGAAAAAGAGTCACGGTTGCAATATAACCATTTTTCATGACCTACAAAATTCACAGAATAAAATAAACCAAAATCATCAACGTACAGCGCAGAAGCTTTATAGCAAATAAGTAAGAGCAACTTCAGAGAGTATCACCTCAAACGCAACATTCTGGTAGCCATACACCAAAGTAGATCCAAAAGGATTACTGGTGGAACCTTGAGTTTGGATCGCCGCTCGCCCGCAGTCCCCAAGAACTTCCTGCAATATGTTATTAGAAATGCCATTTAAATCTGAAACCCAAATGTGACAGCAAAATGGAGAAGTTACAGACATGCCGAACAAATGTCAAATGCCACAGAACTTGATAAACAGATGTAATGTTGCAACACTCTAATTCAGTGGAAAAAAATAACATAATTAGCGTGAATGATTCACCTTAACTTGTTCCCACTTTGTGCTCGGCGTGATAGTTTGTTTAGGTATGTCTTCATTCTCATTATTTGAACCAGCAACTGCAAAATAGATGGTTGAGTGTAAAGAAACATTAGTATGAAATTCACAAGTCACAACCAGAAATGAAGAGTATCTCGTGACGCAAATCACCCACCCTCGGAACTGTAGATAACAAAATTGCATTTCAT